TACATTGTACCACTGTCGTTTATTGCTGGTATGATAATCTTACCTCTCGTTGCATGGTACTAATTGTACGGGAAGTTCCCGAGGTGGAACACATGATTTGCATACTCGAACGTCATTGGATAATACCATTCAATGAGGGAGCTTTTGTAATAACACCTCAAATTTGACAAATAGTACATGCTACATGTTATGTTTACTTTCCTTGGTTGTACATTGACACATTTACCAACGAACACCGTTGAAAAAAAAATCCATTTTGTGACGGTTTTCAATCTGGAAACTTCAGGTTTACACAATGACGTGACGTCATCGCCTGGCCCATTGTTCAATTGTTCTACGTCATATATTTTCAAATCACAGAAGATTCCTGTTGCACTCAACGGGTTAAGTAACTGTTGCACTGTCTGTATTACCTTATTTAAATTTAACTTTTACAGTTTTTTATTTGATATAATTTATACTTTAAAGCCCAAAGTCTGTCAATAGTGTTCGATTTTGAGTAGCTCAGATGATACATTTTTTCATGCTTTTTAACATAACGACTGGACTGCCAGCCATATATGCGTACATGTTGAATTTTAATCTGCATACTATGACGTTTAATGATACGTTCCATATAGATCATAAAAAAAGAGAAATTAATAAAAAAATATCTCATTTATAAAAAAGCATCAATTCCGTGATATAATGTAACCATTTGCAATGACAAAGGGTCATTTTCATGTTAACTGTGCATAATCTTGTACACTTAACTCAATGAGTTAGATAATATAATGGTAAACACATATTCAAAGTACATTTCATTTACTATTACCACTATACCACTTGCCTACGGTACCAGTGTTAGTAACCAAAAGGTAATAGTTGGTATAGGGTACAATTTGTTTTCATTTACTAAGCAATTTTCAGTAAAGTATAGAATACAAGTACTGATAAAAAAAGGTTCCTAGAGAACAAAAGCATATTTAGGAATGTAACTCCAAAGGCATGAAAAGATGAATTTCACTTTCTGTTAATTAGTGCGATGAAGGCTTATTCAGTTTCATTATCAATTGTTAAAAAGAGTAAACATCTATGTATGATAGGTAAATTTATCTTTGAAGCTATCAGAACCCCTAAATCATGTTGTACATCATCTCTGTACATTCTCTATACATCGTTTTTGTGCACCATGTACTACATGTATATAAATTGGCCGTAGCCCAACGTTTGAATAACTCTTGACATTTGTGATGTAATGAAAAGTGAAAATTATAATTAGGTTTCCTTTCTAGAGTGTATGTCAAATAAGAGACAGTGCATGACCAAATTTTAAACAGTCTTTGCTATTAAGGTTAATATTTAGGTTAGGTAATGTGGCTTTACTTCTGATCAAAAAGATTCGAATAGCATGCCGGCGGCTAGTATCTTACAGCTGTGATATTATACATGTAATAACTCAGAGTTGTTAACAAATAAATTAATTTGATTTTTGAAATATAATTAAAACAAATTTATCCTTTTTTTAATTTTATTTTTGATATTTATATGATATCGTCTTCTACCACGTGTGTTATTTTTTATAAAGATAATGGAACATTTCTCTGAATAAGTACCGGTAGACATAAGTTCTTAATAATAATATGTAGTAATAACACCTTCATCATTTTGAAACAGACTATAACCAAATTATTATTAAGTGTGGACATAGACACGTATGCTAGGTGAGACTAGGTATTTTAGAAATGTATGGTAAGGCAAGACTAAACCTTTACATCATTGTATAGAGAACAACGACTACTACATTAACATATCGTAGTGACGGGTCCATGCGATCACCTAATATCCATTAAAAGAAGGAAATGGTGATTGATTTTTTTTTTCAAATATTTGAATAATTGATAATATTATAATCAGGTCTCTTTACATTTTGAAAGATTACATCTTTTTAAGAATTTAGAGAAAAAGGAAACATTTACATTCACTTTATATTGAAAGTATAGAGCCCGCACTGAAGCAAGTATAACTATAATGTTATGCAACAGATGCAGCCAATAGGTGTTGTAGACGAAGGTAGTCCCTACTTCGAAGAAACCATAAAGTCCATAACTATAGTAATCGTGTAGTCAACATGAAAGCTGTCGTGTCTATATTTAATGGATCTACCATGGAAACCAGATTGACAAAACCAGACCGCTCCTATCATTCCACGTTCGGACAATCGATACGACTTAACAGGCGTGCGTAGTGATATAATTGAACAGACAGGTTATTTCAAAACCCGTGCACCGGCACGGTTTCTAGACCCCTGGGAACCTATACCCGAAAATTGTCAAAATTGAGATTTTATTCAAATTCAATGTTCCATGTCACTCTGTTGGCTTTTAACAAAGACCATTAGCTATTCAACACCGGTATATATATACCACTATACATAGTCCCCTGTTGATATCTTAACAAAGACCATTATATTTGTAACATTATTACATATACCACAATGCTTAAATGCTCTGCTGGTATCTTAATAAAAACGACTGATTAGGCTAACGAACATTTAATGGAAACTTTTAATCAACAAAATGAGCTTCAAAACTAAAACTTTATTGTTGGGACGAAAAAACAATTAGAAATATGCTTGTATATTCATGAAAAAAATGGCATTTTCAAATGTGCGATTACGTTTCATGAGACAAACTAGCCTTTTAAAAAACTTGTTCCTGTAGTATAGAATTAATTGGTTAGCTGTCATCTGAAATTAAAGACATATATGCGTTCTTCGTTGTCTTTACAGAGATCATAATTCATTGATTATACCTTAAAATCTATCAGATCTGGAGATTCAGTCACTTTTTACCATATCGAATTATGTACGCTAGCTTAAACATGCTTGGCCAATAATAACGATTTAAATAAAAACCCTTTCCGTTCTTCTCTTTTGTTATGTAGACACTGGCAAAGATATGAATGATAACCTATCCAAATACAGACCTGTAACAGCTTCACAATGACCTGCACAAGCACACCACGTTCACGTCCTTGAACTGACCCTTATCTATGAACTGAAAAAAATGCTAGCTACATAGTGGTTTGCGACAACATGAAACGTATGCAGTTGGTTTATCTAAATATGAATCAATCTACACTGTTCGAGCTTTATTTATCAGATACTGTTACCAAGGTAGCCCTGGTATCCCGAACAAGTTTAAGGAGGTACTTTTCCACCATCTAGCCAGTGATTTAAAGAACATATGTTCCCACTAGCAAGCCAATGTCTTACACTACTACATTTATAACAGTTTTAATAGAATATGGATAATGCACTCATATCAACTATCTACGTACTGGTTGTTTGATGGTCTGTGTATAATAACAATAAATAATAATTCGAGGTTCTTATAAAACGCTTTATCACAACCTAGTTCGTAGGTCGAAGGTCGTCTGAAAGCGGTTCACAGATTATTATCCGTGGTTATTTGCAACCAGCGAATAATGTCCTTGGGAGCATACAGCCGGTGCTGCCATTTCGGCACTCACAGCTAACATTCAACAACTCTAGCACTGCCCAACCACGTACTCATTAACTGCTGAGTAGACTGGAACAAGCGGAGTAAAGTATCTTGCTGAAAGATACAACACAGTGCCGTGCCGTGACTCAAACCCGCAACCCTTCGGTCACGAGCCCGGCGTCCTACTACTAGATTACCGTGCCTCCTAAGTATACTGAGTATACATAATGTAGTGATATTTACAAATGATTCAGTATTAAAATACATTTATGTGATGCTCATTGCTGATATGTAAAACAAGTAAATTCAATCACCATTGTACTTGTGATCCACATGTCGTTAATCAGTTGTGTGTGGTATCATGTAAAACCTGATATCTGTGTTTACCGCATGCTTCTATAGAATCGACAGATATATTAAAAAAAATATCAGTTGTGAAATAACGTCCGTGTCTGATTGGTAGCCAATTACACATTACAGTGGGGTCTGTTTCGGAATCTTTGTGAAATAACGTCCGTGTTTGATTGGTAGTCAATTACACATTACAGCGGGGTCTGTTTCGGTATCTTTATACTAAACTCTTAACGTGGTTTTATTTATCGCCCGGCAAACACTTATCTATAGAAAATTGTTACCATGATCTGTTACAAGGAAACATGTGTTAACAAAGCAACAGTATTATGTTACTCTATTATTTGTTTTCATAAATGCATCTCACCAGATACACGTACTATGAACCTAGTTATGATTTTTTTAATACTTGTAGCACTCCAGTGTTTCATTCGTAAACGTCGAGAGCGCAAGAAATGAAACAATAACTTAACAGTTCAACATAATCTTTTCATAGCTTCAATTCTGAGTATCGTAAATTGTTTGTGGATACTATGTTTTGCTTTTACGTTGGTCGGCAATACGAACAGAAATGTCCTACACCAGATAGCGGTCATTACCGGTACAATACCGTAATAGTAAAGAAAAATCATTATAACTGCGTTAGGTTTCGTACACTTGTGGGTAACATGTGTGTGGACGTTAGTCGTCAATACGAACAGAAATGTGTATCAGCTCTCCATTGTATTAAGGTATGACTAATGTCGACTATTAACCATTGTGCTAGCTTGTATTCATCTTAACACGTACTTAAACGAAGTTTTTTTTATTATACAAATAGTTCAGAGCCGATATTTAAGAGATTGTTTGTTATTTGCGAGACAATACACGGTAGTTTGTATTATATTCTTGTTGTAAATGTGCGGAAATTGGTATTTCAGTATGATGTCAAGTGGTTGGACTTTTTCTAACTTGCATTTGATTGAATGGTGAGAAGTCGAAAGCACACCATCAAATGATACCAAACTACAATAAACAATATTGTCTATGCTTTGCCTCATAATATAACCGTGATGTGGGGTTTCGATTTTGTTTATGTGTTTTGACACTTTGACCCCTGACATCAAAAGGCTAGCGATGGTCAACTATATTCTACAAATAAAAGTCAACCACGGAATATCTGGAAGGTGCGTTTAATTCAAAGTCTCAGTCACGTTTTATTTTTAACTCAGTCTCTTAACAAAGATTGCCACGTGGTGTTTCCCAGTGACTATTAACTGTCCACTACTATGGAAATCTTGATCAACTGGATGGTAGATAGCCGACGGTAGAGACCAATTATGTAGGTAGCTTCCGTCTTTTGACAGAACAATGATTTTCTGTCCATAGTAGTCAGCCACCAACACCGAATTGTCATCTGTACAGTGCCCTCCATGATGACCCCATAGCTTTAATGGTCCTGGTAACTTGGCTTCCTTCGCAATCCTTCCAGATGTTTTGTCGATGAAAAAGAGACTATTCATAGACCAATCCGAGACGATGTGCCACTCATCGTTACTTGAAATCATGTTGACGCTGCATCCTTTGATTTTAATTTGTGTTTTGCTTTCCCCACTGGTAGTAAAGGTTTCTAAAATATTTCGATCATATGAAGTTGTTCCAAGAAATTGTCCATCGACTGTTCTTGTCAGGAGTGGAGTGATGCTTCCGCTTTTCATCTTTATGCTTTTTGTTTGTTTTTTATTCTTGAGTAACGTAATATACCCCTTTCTTGAGCATGCAATGACGTCCTTGACGCAGGCCACACCTAATAAACCGTATACTGGCGTACTCCACTCAACTGTCCCATTTGTGTTAAAAACAGTTATCTTATTGTTATCCATATCGCTAACCACAAAGGAGTTACTATTGACCCAAGCGACTGACGTCACAGCAGGTTTACGAGAATCGGCGAGTGTCTCCAATGACAAACATCGGACAAGTTCGTACTTACTGACGGTTGTTAGGTCAGATGCACTTTGGTTTCCCCTCGGAGAACTAGTCATATTTCCCTTCACACCGACTTGATTCAAATCGTTTTCATTCCTGGTTGTTGCCTGTTTAGCATTGACTGCATTGGCTTGTTTGCTGGCTTCTTCCATTGAATCAGATTTCTTGTTTTGTTCCTCTACCGTACTAGAATCCTCTTTGAGTTCTACCTCATCGATTACATTCTTGTTAGGTTTGGCGCCCGTGGAGATATCGGGTTTTGTTTTACCTCTTATTGTAGACTGTGGTTTTGTACTAATGTCTTTCGTTTGTTGCAGTTTTTCTGTTCTCAATACCGATGCAGATGGAGATTTGACAGTGCAGTTAACCAGTGTTGGTGTCTTTTGTTCGTGAGATTTACCGTGATAAAGCGCTGGTCGAATGCGTGATCTAATAGGTACAGATGCCGCTACGATTGCACCTTCTTCATTGGTTAGATGAACATCAGTTCGTGTAAGTGTTGTGTTACAAATTGTATCTTTGAGAGAAGTTTGAAATTCTACAGTCAGTGTCTGTCTCTCTGCGTTATCAGATGGCCTATCAATGGTTGCCAAATATGATAACTTCCTCAGAAGTATATCTGCGATTGGCAATATGTGTAACGTATTTGCACCAGAAACGAGTGTTTCACATGTCTTCAGTGATGGTCCCAGTTTTTCCAAATAAGCATCCACGTCAGATTTATGTGTTGCCAGTTTCTGCTTTATATTTGTAAGTTCTAATGACGTCGTCTGGATTGCCTCTGTTCCATTTTTTTTGACCAGATGTTTTAGTTTGTCACAAAGACTTTGAATCTTTCTCGGAAGTTCTATCTTTTTCTTTTCAATCTCTTCAATACCATTTTTCGTGATCTGTTGTACAGTCATTATCCGACGTAGACGAGGTTGAAGTTCAGAACACATCCGCTCGATTTCTGTTGCTCTAGATTTCTTCAGAGCGTCGTGTTTTACAACAACCTCATGGTCCTTTTTGTGATAAACTAAACACTGTTCACAGACAGGATAATAACAGGACTTGCAATAGTACTTTAGTTGTTTACAGGGATGTTCACTACAAGTCAGAAGACGTTTTTGTAGGATGATACTGTCGTATTTTCCTTCCTGTACATCTGTTCTTTTGACCACTTGATGTTCAAAAGTCAATCTGGTAAAGGAATGATGTTCTGCGCACGTGCTGCATAACATGTCGCAGCAATCTACACAGTAATGTGTGGCATATTGCTGTACATCTCTGAGCTGGCACACAACACACAACGTTTTGCCTGCCTTCAATTGGTATAGGTCCACCTGACTGGCGATGTAGGTATCTGGTCTGAATGAGGATCTATTCTTAGTACAGGGACTAAAGTCGGCACGGCAAAGGAAACAGCTGGCATGTATGTGAAAATCGTGTGTTTGCTTAGCGATACAGTCATAACAAAATGTATGTAAACAAGACAATATCCGTGGATTTTTGAAAATATTATTGCAAATTGTACAAACCAATTCACCAGGAGTTTCTTCCGAAGCCATGTCAAGTCATACACCAACTTCGTGCCTTCGAATGCCAGAAATTATTTCAAGCCTACAAAATACAATGAACCAAGCTATTAAAAAAACAAGAAATATTGATACTTTCCATGTTTTATGAATCGTTCCTAACATCAAATGCGAAATTGTTTGATCATCACTATGGTTTTAAATTTGTTGATCGTTTTGTTCCTGTTTTGTTAGATAAATATTACACTATATATACTTGTTTTTATTAATTCACATAATTGCTCATATGAGCCAATGTCATCCATTTCTTTTGACTTTTTTTCCCAAAGACCATGAAACATGTTCAATAATATATTTTCAGGAAGGCTCCATAGTCAAAGGCACACAAAAAATGTGAATTGTATGGCTCAAATCCCCAGGGGCCTGAGGGGCGGTATAATAGGCGTGAATGTTATTACCCCTGGGTCGCCCATTCCCTCCTTGGGAGGAGGTCAAGTTTACTATAGTTTATAGAGAGAAATTACACCTTTGGGTATATTTTGTTATTTTCAGTAGGATATCATTCAAACTTTGTTGGAATGATTATCATGTAATTCCAATATTTGAGTATGAAAAGTAAAACCCTGATTTACACCCCAAGGCCTGGGGGCCTTGCTAAATGAAGTCAAAATGGCAAACTTTTCATCAATCTTCTCCTCCAGGTCCAGATACGCTGGAATAACATATTCTTCATGGATGGAAAGGTATTCAGATGCTTTTTCAAATGTGGGAATAATATTACCCAAGGGTCATCTATTTTCCCCCGGGGTAGGGTAAATTAGAATACTATAGTTTATATAGAGAAATACTACTTTTGTGTCTGTTTTTGCTTATTTTCAGTGGGATATAGTTGAAACTTGGTTGGCATTATCATCATATTGGTTTCAATTTTATGGTATGAAAATGAGGACCCTAACTCACTCCTGGGGGCTGTAAGGCTGGAGCCGGTATGTTATAATCATATCATCTCATGGACGGAAAGGTCCTACAGGTTCTAAGGTGATTAAGTATTTTTTGATACATGTACATCACAACAACAAATAACAACTTTGTTACATCCCAGGTTACTTTTAATGCCCATGGGCCTCTTGCCTAATTGTCAATGCTACATTTAAGCGGCTTGTACGTATAATGTTTGTGCTTTACATTTGATAGAAGATGCTCAATTAGTTTAGAAACTAGAACAGTTTGTACTTAATTAATATTTTGATAATATCTGCCTAGTGAAAGTCAAATAAGTGTTGTTACTTTTCATGCCGATCCAACACAGCCACCATTTCTTTAAGTTGAAGAGATATTTTTTATTTTTCAAAAACAGTTAAGCGTTCAGGCCTGTTAGGCCTCTTGTGTCAGATAGCGCGTTATATTTTGCGTCGCTACGTATATGACGACTGCAAAACTATTGATCTTATCAGCGTAAACACGGATACAAAGGAAAAAACGATCGGGTGGATTGATTGTTCACACTTATAATAACCTGACTTACCTTCATATCTTTGATGACGATTTATAACAGAACATCTATGTCCAAACAGCAACAACCGTCTGGTGATCGTTTAACAAGCACAGAGTGTGTCTAAGTACTCAGACGTTTATATTATGTCAGTATTTGTTAATGTCACGTGATCATGGCGTTTGTCCTTGAGATAGCCGACGACAAAGAACGGTAGGAGTAGTAACATTATACAGACCCGTAGTAGCTGAAAGCAGGTAAGTTGTCACTGCGAGCCTGCGTTCCTCTGTTATTGTACGGGGTCCCTGTCATTACTATATAAGGTAACAACCCGTTATGGATATCTTTTATATTTATCCGTGGTTTTTGTGTTACATGTATGTAAACATAAACTGTACTGGCTTGTTTGTAAAGTATGTGTATTTTCGACCAACGATTTTTGTCTAACAACATCAATAAATACTACATTGCATCGATTACCTATATTTCAGTAAAACTCTAAAGACACTTGTCAATATATAACATGTGTAAGTTTATTTACAAAAAACTTAAATTAACGTGTACTTATACGTTATCGATAGAATCGCTATGTGTGTATCAGTGTTGTACAATGTACAATGCTATTGAGCCAATAATATTACGGTACAGTTAACCATATAATTGTTTGAAATTACACGCTGTCGTAAATACCTTTGTATATCCCACTGCTGTCCTTAATATTACGACGATAATTCAAAACGAAAATTCCTTATCTTAAATGGATCAGTTACTAACATTTTGTATGTTTTAAATACAAACCTGAATACTCAAAGTCCAGGAGATCAACTTCCACATATCTTTTTCAACCTGTAACATTACTTCGTATGATCTATAATTGAACATACTTTTTATGTAAGTACTTATATACTCATCTTTATCCTTATACTTATAATACTTATCAGAGCAGATGTATGATGTAGTGGTATTCATTTTTTTCGTACAGTATCTGTACAAACATAAAAGTAGCAATCACTGTGCGTGTGCGTGTGTGGGTGGGTGGGTGTAGGTGTGCGTGTGTGGGTGTTATGTGTTTCGTTTGTCTTTCAAAATAAAAGGTGGTACATGTAGACTCTGCTGGTAAATTTCTTACTCTCTGAGGTTTGCAGTAACATTGATAGCCTCAATGATATATTTTGAGTAGTACATGGCTCATGATATACAATCTTTATTCATTGCTGAATCTGAAATTAAACTATGTACCTCTAAGTTTTAAAAATCATAAGATTAAGGGCTTTTACGCACCTGTTCTGCTGGTTTGATTCCAACGTTTTGGCCCCTAGCATCTAAGAACAACGAAACAGCTGTGTGATGTAGTGTATTTTTTGTATGCTGTAACTATAATATTTTTTTATAAAGTTTCAATCATCTGTGTGAGTGTGTGAGTGTGTGTGCGTGTATGTGTATTTGTTACGTTCATCCTATGATGTAATTATCAATAATATATTTTTTATGTACCTGCTATTATTTATTTAATTACCGGGTTTATATTTTTATCAGTTTGTTTTCTTATCACTGGTATTGAATAGTTAGACTCTTGACTACCTTCATCTATTTGTTTAAACTATGTTACTACTTGCCTCAATATCCCGGGGGGAAATTGACAAAGAAGATATTATAGGTATTCTAAAACGTTGCCTTAATTGGATTAAGGCGGAATATAGGCACTTAAAAATTAACGAAAAACACGAACATGTGATTGCATTTACAATTTGGTGTAATTGATGTATTATGACAAAAATAGATTATAGTGAAATCATTGTAATTAAGATAATAAAAAGAAGAATGAAGAAGTTCTGTACAGATGCAATAGCGATTTTCTTTTCTTATTCAAACAGCATCATTGTCACTATGGCGGAGTTATCGTCGACAATCGAAGAAGAATTTCTAACATGTAAGATATGCCTAGAGGTCTACGTTGAGCCTAAGGTTTTGCCTTGCCTCCATACATTTTGTCTTGGTTGTATAAGCCGTCACTTCGAGAAAACACGGAAAGGATGCAAGGCATGTTGTCCCCTTTGTCGGACAATGTTTGAAGTACCAGACTGCCAGCCCATGAATATGAAAACGAACTTTTATATTAACAGTTTGGCTGAAGTTATTGGTGCAAAAAAGAACAGTGCTAAACACTGCTCGTTTTGTGAGATGAAGAACGTCGTTTCTGCCTCTAGATGGATATGCATTCAGTGTATGGACTTCCTTTGTGAGACTTGCAAACAAAATCATCAGGGAACACGACTGACATTCAACCATCAAACAATATCGATTGAACAGCTTTTGACAGGTGATTATGACCAGGTTATCCGAAAAAGAACGGATATCACTTGCTCCGAACATGAGAACGAGAAAGTCAGATTCTTCTGTGAAACTTGCCTTATAACAGTTTGTCGTGATTGTGTCCTTTTGAAGCACAAGGATCATACATATCGTTCGCCTGCTGATGCAATGCAGGATAGACGTGAGGAAATGGTTAGAAGTTTGAGGGCAGCAGAAGATCAAGTCAATACTCTAGAAGAAAATCAGACCTTTATTACCGAGTCATTGTCAGATTTAAACAAGTCAGAAATATGTCAAATTACGTCTTTAAAATCATTTGGTAAAATGTTGAAAGATGCTATTGATCAAAATATGGAGGAAACAGAGAGGAAGATCAGAGAGACATCTGAAGAGTCGAGGGGAAAGCTTACTGAACGAAGTAAGAGTATCGCTCTCGAAGCTCAAGTGCTAAAAGAACCCCTCGAACTCTGCAAAGATCTCCTAGAGAATGGGCGAGATGAGGAGATTCTGTACTTTCGCGAAAGCTTCAAAGAGGTCCTACAAAACCCCAACACACATGGATCCCCGAGGTCCGATTTACCTTGGGAAAGGGTCGAAATTGTTTTGTCAGAAACTATGGTACAGCTGGTAAAGGAAAAATCCATTCAAATCAATCAGAAGCAACAAATCTTCAGCGAGAACAGATCCCAGTGTATAGAGATGCAAATAACTGAAGACAACAATCACAAGGATACTCCGCAAAGTTTGTCTGACAGAAGTTATTCATCAGTAATTCAACCCAGTTCATCAACACAACGCCAGGTAAACAGTGGGATCTATCGTCTTATAAACACATTTAACTGTTACATAGGATGCAAAACTGAATTTGTTCCGGAACCAACTGGTGTAGCATGGATTTCAAGTCGTCAAATCGCTGTTTGTGATGGAGAAAACAAGCAACTAAAAGTGTTTAAACGGAACGGTCATACAGATTGGTTTGTTGATATTGAAACTACACCGACTGGTATATCTGTTGTGGAAAACAAGATCGTAGTGGCAGTACCATACGGCGTGTTGATTTATCAAAATGGCACGAGAACCGGAGTAATCACGTGTAAGGTTGACACATTCCGTCACGTTGCATCATCCTCCTTGGACATTCTCCTATTTCCGACAGATGGTGAAGAGGTGAGAAGATACGATAGCAAAGGAAAAAGACGCGGAACGATTATGTTGGAAACGCCCTTGCAGCCACTGACAGTATCTTGCAACGATGAATTAATAGTTGTATCAGACAAGCGGAGTTCTGAACCTCTGATGTTTAACTACAATGGTGAAAAGCTGAGAAGTGTCCAACGGAACAAAGCTAACTGGCTGGCCGATGCACACTGTTTACAGAAGGACAGGGTACTATTGGTGAATAAGCAGTCGAGCAAGGTAGTGATCCTCCAAGACGGAGAAAAATACCTTGGAGGATGGTCAACAGAACCAGAAATTACACGTCCTTCCTGTATTGACTACCATTCCGACGGCCTCTTGGTTATTGGCGGAGCTGGTGGAAATATTGCTGTGTATCAATTTCTGTGAAACAACATTTTGTGGAGCATCAAGCTCTACCAATGTAGGGGGCACGTGTACTTATAAAACAGATATAAGGAACATTTATATAAATGTCTCATGCCTCACTCAGCGTTTCGTAATCTATCATATTCCTGGGCCCACTTGTATAAAACATCTCAAAGTTAAGGAAAATCTCAAGCAATGTATTGTCTCTGGGAAATCTTAGACTTGAGGAAATCTCAAGAGTTGAGATGTTTTATACAAGTGGTCCCGGTGTTTTTATTTTATTTTCATTTGTATGCATAGTTCATAGCAATAACAGATCACTGTATTGTTATTGTATTGATCAGAAAACACGAATGCGATAGTTTCACGTCTCAAACATTTTATTTATTCACACGCTTCCTTCTCCTCATACAGTTATTTGCGGATGCAATTTATTGATTGATTGATTGTTTAATTGACTGGTGAGGCTCCACGTCCTTGTTCCGGTTATTAACAAGCCTATGACAAAACAGATATCGTTAAAGTTTTAATCCTGATACTTTTTAGGGGTTTCGCTAGGAATATTTGATTATTCAATATATACATTTTATTTGGAATGCCTGTTCACTCTGGCAACCCATAGAGTATTTACTGTTTAGAAGAAATTCGTCAATACTATTAACTGCATGTAGTCATTTTGACAAGAAAAATTGTTTGTATATCTAATGCTCAATCTAAGAGTATGGGAGGTAACTCTTCTTAGCTCGATTTAATTTGCGAATGACAAGGTGGTGATAGTACCGTTTAATAAAGATTTTCAGTTTCCTGTTTTTTAAATTTAATGCTTAGCCTAGATTTGGGGCGATATATCTAGTGCGATCAGCGCGATGTTTATAATAGCGTTTTATTTTGTTGTTAAAGCGAAAGAGTTTGTCCTTGTCCATTATCTATTTTTTTTATATAACCAGGGAGAAAACACTTGTTGTCTCGTACTTGATTTATGTATGCATATTATAATTAATTTTCCCCCGCTTTACTCAGTAACAACATTTTCCCGGCGCTGTTTACAATTACATTTGCAAATCCCAGGACCTTTCAGTTGTTTTCTTTTACCCACAGATGTTTATTTTGTCCGTTGGGATTTTTCAGGAGAATTTTTTTTTTTTCATTTTCATCGATTCTTCATCCAACCCCTAAATCTTTTTGATGCTGATAGTTTTAATACCCTGGTAATATGAGAGAGATATTGTTTATTTCTTACACTTGAAAACATACATAAGTGTATCCCTAATCACATGTCCACAAACTAACATGTTAACGTTACAGCACACTCGGCAGGCTTGAGGTGGTGGATAACTCTAACATACACGTACATTTGTATATACATATATACTCGTACACATGCTTAATATTATATACGTGAAAGCCTTATTTTCCATTTCAAACATTTGTAATACATATAGGATGTGTGTTCTATAAATCTGAACACTGCTGTAGTGAGAGGACTTGTATAGGCAATGCCTGATGTCTCAATCCAATTGACTCCTTTGTTTGTCAATAAAACATGCTGAAATTGAATAAAGAAAACAATCCGTAATTCAGTCAAGATTTTAATTCTTTTTTGAAGTATCATGCGTATCTTGATTTTTTGTTGGATATATGAATACAAGTGCTTGGTGGCCCCTGCTTGAACCACAAACAAAATGTCTCGTTCATTGTCCGGCAGACATGTAAATTAGCAGCGGGAATGGCAATTTCATCGTTTATTCAATCTTTAAATTTTCTATGAAAATATAATCGACATTTGTTTTTAATATTCATTACACTTCTACATATTTACACCTTCTAGAAGAATAGACTTTCATCGAAAATGCCTAGTTTATCAACATTTGTACAAACTACGTCGAGCAATTAATAAACATACATAATATTTTAAAATCACACAATCACATATTATATTTGTAAAAACATATTTGCGTATATATAATTCCGCATTTCACTGAACGAAGATTTAAGGGAAAAAAATGGTTAAGCAGAAAGGTTTCATTGAGATCACTTCGTGGTCTTACGATCTAGCACATTTAATTGTAGCAACAGTCAGACTCTATAATGACTATGTTGAGTGGTGAGTGGAAGTAGACCGTCCATGTGGTCACTTACGGGTGTTGCAGTTATCTGTTCCTGATTGCCACTTTTTTGAGAAACATCAGTCAACATAAGCAGTATCTAGGTTTAGTCGTAGTAGTAGTCAGGACCTCGATGTGTGGTTCTTTAGTGGAATACCAGAGGTAGAGGTTATCAGTCCCCCTGGTCACTGCGCGGCGTAATAATAGTAGTCGCCCTGGCTCGAACTGAAGGTGCTGCTGATTTCCTGAACGATGGCGGAGAACTTTGGCCGTGACGACTGGTTATCCTGCCAGCATTTCTTCATTAACTCATAGTGCCTGTGTTAGACATATGTACACCGTAACATTATCAACAGAGTTATGTCCCCTTATAATGTTATGTATGCTATATCGTTTTCTTAGATTGAACAATTTTACATAAATAAATACAAGGGGGAAATGTCGTAAGAAGAGGCTTATAAAAAGAATTTGTTTTTGTGTATGTTAAACTAAAGACAGACTAGTTTTATTCATATTTAGAATACAAGAAAGGATAAACAATTTGATCAACATGGAATGCTCTTGACTTTTTGTCTATATAACATCGCAAATTATATAAGTTACACGATACTTAACACGAATAACTTACATGTCAGCACAATACTCAGGACGGCTCATACGGTACCCATTGGTAACCTTGGTGGCCACGTCCATACTCCGTATCCCGGGATATGGAGTGTCACCTGTCAGGGCAAATGTCATTATAGTATATTCCACATGCATATAAGCCCTAAGTCGTTCATGGAAGATTATCTTAATGGAACTTTCGCACATACATTTTCAATTGATCATTATTTTGGGAAAGGATTATAACAAGAACGATACAACAATACGGTACTATAAATAATAAATCCCGATATCTTCGTCTCATCGGAAAAAAATGATTAACTCATTGAGCCCAAAAATCGTGATATCCTGTTATCGACAAAATTGTAGCTGTTTTACTTACATACTAAGAAAAAGAAGCAGCTATCACAGGCCTTTGTTCATTAACGAGGCTAACCGGTTTTCATAAACCAAACGGTAAACAATACGGTTATAGTGGTGTCCAGTATTATTTGACCATCGGTAGGACATATGCAGAACGAGACCTATTGGCCTTGTACCGAATCCCATACAATTTCCACATGTTAATTCCCTGCTAGTACCAAAGTGAAAAGTTTTCATTTGATGTTCTGATACTTCTTCCTACTCATGCGAGTTCAAGATCACAATTTGTGGTTAAAATGTTAACAGGATTTATTGGTAGGGATATTCTTAAACTTTCCAGATTGAAAATATTTGTTCATTAAGTATTTTTACTACACAGACTGGATATATCCCATAGGATGTATTTTACCTACATAATATACATTTTTAATATCATATATTGGTTTCAATCCTACCGAAGTATTTTCTAGATTGACATCCTTGCATATATCTATCCAGCTTTCTACTTGGACTATACATACAAAGATAGATATACCCTACTAAACATATTTGCTCTTCTTCATTCTTTATATCATCTACAGTACATTAACGTCAATATTCTACCCTAACTGAATATCACATTTTAGATATATCCAAACATTCATAGCAAGAATATTTTCTACAGATCATATTGGTATCGACAATGGTTATATTTTCCACACAAATGTTTTCTCCGTGATAAATAACACTGAATATGTTCTGCATAGCCTTAATTTACCTACCTAAACTGAATATTTCCCATATGACGATTGCATATGACCACACATCACTCTGCATTGTAGCGTCTTTCAATGACGTCATACATTCTGGAGCCATCCACTTGATTGGTACCTTTTCCTTCAATCAAATAAAGCATAGGGAGTTTTTACATTTAAACCATCAATTAAACATAGATGAATCATACAGATTTTTATCAGAAAAAGAACGACTTTGTGTACAGGTGGTGCCGTTTAGCACTAATATATATATACTAGTATATAAATAAAACAAAACACGAAGACTAGCTCTTCAGGCGATTTAAATTTATTTGTGACGTCATAAATGGGGTACACATACTTAAGACGTCAAAAAAATGACGTCATAAACAAAGTACACAAAAAGCGGACGTCTAGAAATTGCGACGTCTTAAAAAAAGATTACATGAATGTACTTGCATTAAATGCGTCAATAAAAAAAGAAACGGAGCATATTACAAATGAATACATTGTTCAATAGTAAAAGTTAAAAACATCTGATAGTAAAAATTAATCTCAAAGCACAATACTTAGTTCATCCGAACATATTAAACATACGGAATTTGTAAATTCAAAAAGTATAAGAGGTGCTCGAAATTTCCCGCATTCAAACTATACTTTATGTAAACTAGTATATATAGTACTTACCCTGCCAGTGTCAGCATCTTGTTGCTCACTTTCCTTCGTAGGTCCAAAACCCGCAACTTTCGCTTCCAGTGACGACGTCAATAAAATATTCCTGGCAGCAAGATGGCGATGAATAATCTAGAAATAATTATATTCATCATCCATATACTACTTGTTACGTGCGAAATCTACCAGAGGCATGATTACTCCATTATTTCGGGTTGTCAGAACGGGAATGCTCAAACAATTTGAGACGACTTAAAAATGATTTTTTCGATTTTTCTTCAGTCATAAACATGAACGACTTTCCATTATTAAAGGTACTTTGCGTATAAAAATAATCCCTCAACAAATCATTATCAGATCAGGAAGAAAATGTTGTGAAGAAACAAGACCTTTTAAAGTATAGATATGTAAATAGAGAGGCTAATAACAAGCAAATTAAGAACAATCTCGATAGTTTATTGTTCAAGGTAATCCTCCGCTTAAAACGTAATTGATTATATCGGATCTCGATAAGTAGAAAAATGTCGGTTGGAAGATATACATAAGTAAATGTCGACTCTTTATGAGTTGCAATAATACATGGAATTAATTAATTTATGATAAATGTTTTTTCACCTTTTTTTTCCAGTTTAGTCTTGAAAACAATTTTCTCATAGCTCGCACGTTGGATAACATATGAAGTCTTCCTGCCGTTGACTTGCAATATGATCCACCTGTTCGCGATAAGTTAATTGTTCTCACGACAAACGCTGAAAACACATTGTGATAATCTTTAATTTGCTGATGTTCAATGTGTAACTTTAAAAAAACACACATTATAAAATTCAAATGACTATTCACAAGAAATTTAGAAATCCTTAACAACGATTTGATAGCTGTTTAAACATGTCTTTCAATTGAAATATTATTTTAATTAAGTTCTAATTATGTCGTATCGATGATGTGACACAGACAAAAACACTTTACAATGTACGTTGATCTGTTTATAATCCTTTTTGATATAAAGAGTATTAACCCTACATTATCTACATTACTATAAACTATAGTAACTATTCTATAATTTCGCTGTTGTCCCATTCAGAACTTGAGGATGACCCCTGTGAAATTATTTCACTTTAGAAGGTAAGTTTGTGTTTGGTTGATGGGATATATCTTACAAATGTTTTATCATTAAAACGTATAATTGAATTTAAATTGATGTGTATTTCCATTATTAGACAGTAAAAGGTTAAGAATGTTGTTTTTTTCTCTGTGTATTATGGTATCAATAGTCGCTGCAATATAAAACTTATACAACAGTAATTACGGATTGGTGGGTTGTTTTTGTAGAAACTACATGGAAACTTGTGGTAAGGATACTAAAGTGAACAAAAGTTAACGATTCAATTGATGTTCTGTTATTAAAATCACATTATACCTGTTTGGAGGCGAGTAAATCCATTCCCTTAGCTATGTCAAAGGTCATACGATACAGGGTATCTACGACACTGTCGGTCACATTCGTTCGGTGATTCTGCAGCCACGTCCTCATTACACCTGTCTCACACAACTCCAACAGCATGAAAGGACCCACTGAGCAAAGAAGTGCTCCAGCTTAGTATGTTTTGATGTTCACAGATAAAATTGTTTAACCCAAACATAACGGTATTTCAACCAAGGTCCTGCTATTCGTTAACCAATAACTTCCGCAGTAATTCTCGTGTTACGATATGTGATTGAAGACATGCGTACAAAAAGACACTGGAAGCAGTAAATGTTAAATAACGTTTGTAACTATTGATAGCAATTATCTTCTTCAACACGTCGTCTCTATCTACCGAACGTCGAGTGCGATCATCACCTTAAATGACCCTGGTCTAACTCAATTTGTACGATGCAATGTGCATACGTGAATAAACAACAGAAAACAGTCTGAGAAGACCGCCAAGACATCAACAACTATTTGAAAGCGAAGCGGTGATTGGAAGTTGTCTGTCAGCATACTGTACAGGTGGAAATGTTCGCGTTGTGTCTCTTGAAACTGTCGGTGGTGTGTCTCTTTAAGCTGTTGGCGGTGTGGGGATTTAAACTGTTGGCGGTCTGGGGATTACAAATATTGGCGGTGTGGGGATTGGAACTGCTTGCAGTATAGGGATTAAAACTGTTAGCAGTCTGGGGATTGAAACTGTTGGCGGCGTTGGGATTTAAACTGTTGGCGGGGTGAGGATTGAAACTGTTGGCGGTGTGGTTATTTAAACTGTTGGCGGTGTTGGGCCTTAATGTGTTGGCGGTCTTGGGATTTAAACTACTGGTGGGTTGAGGATTGAAATTGTTGGCGGTGTGGGACTGTAAACTGTTGGCGATGTTGGGATTGAAACTGCTGGCGGTGTGGGAATTTAAACTGTTGGCGGTCTGGGGATTTGAACTGTTGGCGGTGTGGGACTGTAAACTGTTGGCGGTGTGGGACAGTAAACTGTTGGTGGTGTGGGACTGTAAACTACTGACGGTGTGGGGATTTAACCTGTTGGCGGTCTGGGGATTTAAACTGTTGGCGGTTTGAGGATTGAAATTGTTGGCGGTGGGGGACTGTAAACTGTTGACGGTGTGGGGATTTAACCTGTTGGCGGTCTGGGGATTTAAACTGTTGGCGTTCTGGGGATTTGAACTGTTGTCGGTGTGGGACTGTAAACTGTTGGCTATGTTGGGATTGAATCTGCTGGCGGTGTGGGAATTTACACTGTTGGCGGTCTGGGGATTTAAACTGTTGGCGGGTTGAGAATTGAAATTGTTGGCGGTGGGGGACTGTAAACTGGTGACGGTGAGGACCTGTAGAATGTTGGCGGTGTGGGCCTGTAAACTGTTGGCGGTGAGGACCTGTAGAATGGTGGCGGTGAGGACCTGTAAAATGTTGGCGGTGTGGGCCTGTAGAATGTTGGCGGTGCGGACCTGTAAACTGTTGGCGGGGTGGGACTGTGAACTGTTGGCGGTGTGGGTCTGTAAACTGTTGGCGGGGTTGGGATTGAAACTGCTGGCGATGTGGGAATTTAAACTGTTGGCGGTCGGGGGATTTGAACTGTTGGCTGTGTGAGGATTGAAATTGTTGGCGGTGTCGGACTGTAAACTGTTGGCTATGTTGGGATTGAATCTGCTGGCGGTGTGGGAATTTACACTGTTGGCGGTCTGGGGATTTAAACTGTTGGCGTTCTGGGGATTTGAACTGTTGGTGGTGTGGGACTGTATACTGTTGGCGGTGGGGGACTGTAAACTGTTGACGGTGACGACCTGTAGAATGTTGGCGGTGCGGACCTGTAAACTGTTGGCGGTGCGGGACTGTAAACTGTTGGCGGGGTGAGGATTGAAACTGTTGGCGGTGTGGGACTGTAAACTGTTGGCGGTGGGGGACTGTAAACTGTTGACGGTGAGGACCTGTAGAATGTTGGCGGTGAGGACCTGTAAACTGTTGGCGGTGTGGGACTGTAAACTGTTGGTGGTGTCGGACTGTAAACTGTTGGCGGTGTGGGTCTGTAAAATGTTGGCGGTGAGGACCTGTAAACTGTTTGCGGTGTGGGACTGTAAACTGTTGGTGGTGTGGGACTGTAAACTATTGGTGGTGTGGGACTGTAAACTGTTGGCGGTGTGGGACTGTAAACTGTAGGTGGTGTGGGACTGTAAACTGTTGGTGGTGTGGGACTGTAAACTGTTGGTGTTGTGGGACTGTAAACTGTTGGCGGTGTGGGTCTGTAAACTGTTGGCTGTGTGGGACTGTACATTTTTCGCGTTGGCAATGGTTCTGAAATCTAGACGTTCTACAAAAAGCGAAAATTTCTACATCGCGTAAATATCCACTTTTACAGAATGTACAAATGTAGCTGCGTAGAATGAACAGACTGGCCATGATAAATGGTTGATGATTGATTCTGACCGTTGCAATTGTCATTATGAATGCCAACTAGAAATGTCGCTTTATATGAATGGCAACTGTAAGCACATTAGAACATACAGTTATCAATCATTTTAATCTAATAAAAACAAAGCTTGTCCAGAAAGAAAAGATAAGTCAAATATGGGTATTAAGCCTATATGTTTGTTTATTAAAGGAACAGCCACATTCCAAGGAGGACTAGTGGAGTCCCACGTTACAATTATTACCTAACAATTATAACGACGTCCACAATGGTATTCATAGTTGTTATGACTGTTATCTGAATTTTATGAAGATATAAAGTGGCAATGCTATACGATAGTAAATATGATCATATAGACATATACCACCAGTTTGATAACGTCATTCAAACTCTCGTACCTGTATGCAGAATTGATTTTACAAGAACTTACGTGGTTTGTTGTCAATGATAGCCCCAAGGAATTGAATAACGTTGGTATGGGAACCAACCTTTGTGGCGAAGAAGTTTATCTTAGCATTCATTACCAACTCGTCTATTTCGGTATGTGACTCTGGAACATAAAATTGAAAATCAGTATGCATCTAAAAACAATTAACGAAGCGTTCTTCAAAATTTAAAAAAAGTGCAGTTATGTAAGATATTATTCTTTTAGTGTATTATATATTATGTTCTGCTTTAATTATGTCTCTGCTTCAGTACTATTTCAGTACAGGTTCATGGACTTCTTCCAGTTAAACACTTTTATCTGGGCCGTAACTTTAAAACCGTTTAAGATATCTTGATGAAACCTGCATTATACCTGCATCAGCAACCGAAGATGTGCACTGCTATGTCAAAGGGTCACTGCGACCTTGATCTTAACGTCAAAGGTCATGTTAATGTATATTTCTTTTAAGAAACATCTAGTCTGAGCCGTTAATTTTGAATCGTTGAGATATCTTGATGAATCTTGTAGTACATACACATCATCCACAGACAAAGTGCAGTGCAGTTCACTGCCATAAGTCCACTCTGTCCTTCAACTAAACGTCAAAGGTAAAATATATGCCAACGTTTCAGGAACATCTAGGCCGTAACTTATAAACCGTTAAATATACCAAGAAGAAACTTCCCATATACCCGTGTCACTAACAAACGACGTGCTAACAAGGGGAATCATGTGCTTTTGTTCACAAAAGCAAACCTGTAGTTTTAAATGAAGGTCTACTGTGTTTAGATGCAGGGCTCATGACTTCCATATAAGGTATGTCCTTACGTATGAAATAATGAGGACGTGGTGCCTTTTAACATAATTGCTAAGCAATGACACAGCGACAATTTCCGTTTCTTTATTTAGAGGACAGTGGCTTCATGTCAAAAGTATCTTGTTACATGTGTGACTTTTAAACGCTTCACGTTTATTGAAAAAACTTTCATACACGAGGATAATAGACAAATTCAATCCTGCTTAGATCTTCTCACAAGATGAAGTTGCCCACTGACGATTCCTGCTTACCTTTTAACACTTTGGCGACGACGATTTTTCTTTTGTTCCTTTTGGAGTTTTGTGAAGCTTTGAAAACGTCAGCAAACCGTCCTGAAATCATCTTTTCAACTAGAGACACTTCAGCGTGATGAACCTCCCACGGCTGGTTCTCATTAAATACCATTTGACCATACATATACACATCCTCATCACCGACATCCGAATAGGCCAGGTTCTAATGGAAGCCAATGTGCATGATTTTATTCTTTTTGGAACTATCCTAAATATTTGAGTAAAGATAATAAAGTAATTACTGAACTATTGTTCAAACTTTGTGTTGCCCTTGTGTGCTTGGACCACATAATGGCTGTCAAAAGCACCATGTTTAGACAATATTCTTGTATGTTATTCTGTATAAAATTAATAAAGGTTGGGAAAATTAATGCATGTTGGCTTTTTTTGTCAAATATCTCAAATGATATTACGGCGTCAAACTAACATCTATAGATCAGATAGGTAAACACACATGAGAGGAGTTCGGGATAACGTTACAATAGCTATACAGCTATTGTTTGTATTTTAACATATACGACGATACATAAAACTTCAGGTATCTCATAACATTTTATACACGGTCACACTGTAAGTATATCATCAAATCTACGAAAGTTATAAACACCTAAAAAAACATATACGTAAACAAACCTAATGTATAAGCGAAAAAACGTATAATATCAAAGTCTTATAATAACACTTTGTAGAACATTATCATTCAGGTTTTTATTTACCGCAAATGACTTTCGTTCTTGATGCTTGTTGACCTCTCTCGAGTTGGTGTAGGTATTAGATCGCCGACGCCTGGTTATCCGCCGCTGTATTGGACCGTAGATTGATTCCTTGTAGCGATTGAGCTTGCCTGTCCTCCAGAGCACTATACCAGCTATTAGTAAGCCCACAAGGATCAGCATAACTGTGGAAATCATTGTAGAATAATTGTTTAATAATAGCACACAGGGCAAAAGACTTCGATGTTTCTAGAAAAGATGTTTCTATGATTAATCAAAAAGGAAGTTATCAAATTGAATAAAATGCTTCTTAATTTTTTTCTTTTAGGACAAGTTCATAATTTCTAAAACATTTTTAGTCTGCTGACCACAGTACATTACTAAGCTACATTTCCCTACAAGACTATCACTTAATTAGTAATGTTTTGTTATGTTTTAACTCTAGCTCAGTGTTGTTACCGGTGGACTATGCATCCCCTTAAGTTAAATGGATCTAGTAAATCCATTAGTATTATTTATGGAAATTTTATCAAAGACTATATATAGCTTCCATCTTTAAACAAAGCTACATATACAGGTAATAGTACGGAACCATCACCGATCCTTGTCCTATTCTTCTTTCACTTGCTTTTTTTATCTCAAACATTTTCGACTAAATCAATGTTTTAATCGGTGATGATATGTTATAATAAGTTTGTACATGACCCAGTGCATTATATTTTATATTTACCGTTCCTGTCGTAGTTACATACCTATAGTGATTGCTGATATAACGCCCGCTGATAAACCTTCATATTCTCCTAAAAATAAAGGAATAAATATCAACAAATGCTAAATACATGTACTCAAATCGTTATCTTAAAAAACGCCATCACGAGACAATCACTGTGATAGCTACTATTTCCTGGAAAGGTTTATATCTACCTGTCATGAAAGTAATTTGTACGGGGTCACTTTTTTCATTGCCGTACTCAACGACAAACTTGGCGGTGTACGTAGTCTCCGGATCCAGGTTCCCAAGCGTGTAGTATTCCGAGTCCTTGTGTACGTGCATTGTCCGTGTCTGTCCAGACTCATTATACATCAGTAGTATATCTGTTCGGTCGTAACAGCTCGGTCCCTGGTGCCACTGGAAGTTCGCGCTGCTGGATGTTTTTCCGGAAACCACAAGGTCCATCGGTCCGTAATCTGAATATATACAAATTAAATATATCATTTCTTTAAATTACAGTAGTGACTAGCGACCATATCTTCATATTCTGTTCTTGCATTATGATCATAAAATTAATATCGATTTTATTTTTACATACAGTGGAGATCTACAGAAAAAATATCTAAGTGTCCACGCCATTCATTATACTTTAAGGCAATGAGGTGAATGAAATCAAACACGAGTATGTGAAGATCATTTAGGGTATAGTCTATATCCTTTACTCTGCGGACATATCTTATTGCTTAGACTTTCGCATATTGACACAGAACGGAGGAAAACACATATTTCTGAAAGTTTAATTACGTCATAGGTATGTTGATATAAACAAATTTGAGCATCAGTACTATTCGAGAGCTTAAACATGAGTTGGGGTAAACACATATCATACTTCTTTATTTATTTCACAGCAATTATGAAGGTTTTCCATCTAATATTAACCACATTTGTTGGCCGGGTTGTATGCGCTTTAAGGATCATGCTGTGTGAGAAACCGTAGTACCGGAAGAAACCCACGTGGTTTGGCAGGTGACCCAATACCTTTCCATATATGATCGGGAATCAAGTAGAGACATATTGGTGAAAGGCGCGAACTCTATCCATTGAACCACATAAGGATTATTCAGTGCCACAATGCAACTGTTACACTGATTAAATACTGTTAAGGTAGGTAGCAAGAATTTCGGATAATTGCTTGGTTTATCAAGTAGATAAAACGCGTTAAAAGTTGTTTATAAAAGGATGATTTTGGGATTTTGGGATTCAATATAAACGAGGCAAGTTAATAGCATTAACACTGATCGTTGTTAGAAATGATTGTAATATATAAGGAATGACTACATTGTGGAAAATGTATATGTATGGTTTCTTTCGTTATCAAGTAAAACCAAGTTATTTCTATAAGCAGAGCTAAAAATGTAAGTGTTCCAAGACCAAGAATAAGTTATAGGATATGCAGACAACTGGGTTGAACGGCTGCTGCTTTCATCAGATATCTTGATGTCCATTTAATTGATAGCATCCCCTGTTAAATCGCTCTGGCGAGTTAGCATCTCGTGATTTGTTTGCACCTCCCACTATGTTAACAGACCTACACGGTACTGTGCTTACTATCTTTACATGAAATAAAGCTATACCATAGCTTTCATCTTTTAGTTTAAACTTTATTTTATTGATGTTTAATTACAATAGTACATGGTTATAAATACAGAAAAGGATCCAGAAACAAGTACAAAGTACTTATGTAAATCCGTCTCCTTGTAGACATAACAGCAGCTATGGATCAGTACTGACAATAGTATAATTCATATAAATAAATATAAATATATATAAAGTATAACATGTGCAGGGAAAAGAAAGAGAAAGGGTGCAAGGATTTATAGTGGGATGGGGGACGATGTTTGATGGGGAAGCGATGGGCATCAAAACTGCATTGAGAGAACAAACGCTGATTGCATGAATACAAACCACAACAAACATGATTACTGATATGAATGAAGTAAAAGTTTCTTTAAAAACGTCTAGACTGAATGATGAAGTTTTGAACACAGTCAAAAATAATTTCGTTTAAGTTAATTGGTAGTTCGGGTCTACCATAAAGTAAAAAGCTTACATTATAGTTAGGAGGTAGGCGACTAAAACATTGGATTCTCAGCTGCTGGTAGTTAGGACAGTGGAGGAGGAAATGTTCTGTAGTTTCAGTAGACAAATTACATGAGCACATGGGACTATCAACTAAATTTCGTGCAAACAGGTGAGTGTTTAAGGAGCTGCAGTTCATCCTAAGTCGTGCATGATGGATCTGACCTTGTCTGCTTCTGCAGTAGTAATAGTGCTGAGGAACAGAGAGAGTGTCGGCATTAAGAATTTTTTTGAGGTTAGTAATTGAGGGATTGTATTTTACGTTATCTGGTAGTGCATTCCATAAATCAATAGAAGAGGGGAGGAAAGAGTCTTTATATAGATTAGTTCGACAGTTGACTTGACAGAAGTTGTTAGCCCTTCTTGTATTGTAAGTATGTATATTTGAATGGCGAGCAGGTAGAATGTTAGCAAGATAAGAAGGGCACTGACCATGAACAATCTTATGAAATTGGATTAATTTGTGTTTTCTCCTTCGGACAATAAGGGGGTCCCAACCAGATTCTGCATATAGTCTGTCGTGACTTATGAGCTTTCATCTTTTCTAATACAGTATGTACATACACTCATCAGTCAACAATATTCACACTCCTCTATACCATCAAACGAAGGCAAATGCTTAATCTGAAAAATAAGTAAATACAACTCTGTTAGCAAATTGTGTAATGTTAATATAGACCAAAACGATGTTTCCTTTGACAATATAGATATTATCTTCATTTATGTGTGAGAGTGACGTGACATCCTTTGAGTACAACATTTAAATACATTTAATCACACTGTTGCATTAAATTTTCATTATAGATGCTTAAGATCGCGTTGGGACTTCATATCGTTGTTTGACAGGTAAAGCGCAGACTGGGTGCATTTTTGTTTACGAAATTGGTCTTAGATGCAAAACAATGCCTCCACACTAGCGTGTCATAATCTCAAATGATGAGGGACTTATCATACCCCTCGCTTTATATCAAAGCGGCATATCTAATGTTTTACATGTGCAGTATGCATTATATCTAAGGAATATTTGATCTCCAGCTTCCGCAAGAATAACAACTGTTTCATGTATCTTCACAGCATTCGTTTACTTGTGACGGCGTAATTTAAGCACACAATACATATAAAGAACAAAAGAGTAAATCTCCTTTGAAGGGAAGCTTCAAATTTGTTATTGCATACATGAACACTTTGCTTTCTTTTTTAAAAGATAAATCTTGTTGAATAAAGACATTATCTTATAATTTGTAGTTGAAGTGCTGATTTGGGAACACGCTGAGTGTTTATGTAAAATCATTCCTAATTAATGATAGGCATAGATAAATGAAGAAGAGTGATCGTCGTTATACTGATCAAGGAATGCTGACGTTAAACAATAATGTCACCCTTTTGACTTTTATACTGAAGGACGAGCAAAGGCTGTAGTTTTAGTTCACTTTGCATGGACGAGAGAGGCAGCTAAATATTTCTCCCGTAACCACAAACGACTTCATTGTTCCCGACTCATTGAATAAACCTGCCAGGAGTTGCTAAACATTGGTTGGTGGGTAAGACCCTAGACGTTATTTCATTGCTCGTTCAGAAACAGGAGTATTGTATGCCCGGGAGAAACATATGGTTTCTATATAACTGTTTAATATCTGAACGGTGTGGGAGAAAACTGTTCCCTCGTTTCGTAATGGTTAATGTTTTTCTACATATTTTGTAATAGACAGTTGATAAACACCGTGCCTAATACAATTCGAAAATGATTTTACACAAGTTAGAAAAACATTATAACCAATTATCGCTCGTTGGGGAATCTCTTTTTCCAGGTAGTATTGTGACGCAAAAACCGACAGACGACATTGGCATAGGCATTATGTATATTAACCATTATACGGGTTAAGAGACAGACGAGGTAAGAAGAATCGTTATGTTAAGTTACCTGCAAACGAACGGATGAATAGAGCATTGCCAGGTTGAAAACGTCAATGTGAATATCAATGACCTGTGTCTCCAGCTTATCTTTGGGTACCATCAGCCAGCAGTTGTTTATCTCAAACTGGTGGAGGTAATAGAAACAGCCTCCTGCTGGACTGCATTCTCCCTCAAGTTTAGATGGCTTTCTCTGTCATTAAACAGACACAGGTGAAATAGAAACCTATGCTCGGGTGTAAGTAAGACAAATATCTTCAATAAGATTGCTTATGTTACCAATAAATACATATTGGTGGAATTGCCATTAACACTCAGAAGTAAGACAAAATATTTCCATTATAAGTTCATATTTTTAGAACATGCGCTTTTACCAAAACAAGCTTAAAACCATCTAAAATATTATCACAATAAATTTTAAATTTACTTTGTTTTTCATTTCAGGCGGTTTAATAACAAATGTATTGTATATGTGTTAATGTCATTGTGTGTAGGCTTTACAAAATGTTTGATGTCTTGACACATGCGTTGATATTTATGATCAAACATTACTCAAAAAACACGTAGCTTATACATTTCCAAACAAAACCCTATATAAACAATTGGATCAGGCAAATTGTGGTGCTTGCTCTTGTCGCGCATAAACCGAGAATATTGTAAGATACAAACATTACATTACGTCATGCATTTTTTGTGCAGAAAGATATTCTGCATTGACGCTAAAGATACTTTAATATAACAAACATTAGTGAAACGTTATATTTAGATCGCCACTATTTATGAATTCTAGGTGTTAATATGGGTATATTTTTTCTATATCACATCAATTAAATGCCCTCTGTAAAGACTTCGTTAACACCCAAGGCGTTTGTTTAAACGACTAGATTAAATATCCAAACTTTTGAGGGTTTCTGAGGAATTAAGTCAATTAGTTTATATTCAATCTTACTGACGGTAACAAATAGGCAAGTTGTATATACAGTATCGTTATAAATATAGTTTAACCTGATAGGCGACTTTACCTCTGTTATTGGTGGTTTAATAATGATCCTGTTTACAAATGGTAACCTGATAGGCGAATTTACCTCTGTTATTGGTGGTTAAATAAAGATCCTGGATACAAATGGTAACCTGATAGGAGACTTTACCTCTGTTATTGGTGGTTTAATAATGATCCTGGTTACAAATGGTAAACTGATAGGCGACTTTACCTCTGTTATTGGTGGTTAAATAAAGATCCTGGTTACAAATGGTAACCTGATAGGCGACTTTACCTCTGTTCGGTTCCCTTGTGATTGTCCCTCATGAAAAATCTCTTCGGAATCGTTTGTCTTGATCTTCCATTTAAACATGGTAATCCCACTCTGCCCATCGTATGCCAAGAATCGGACACTGTAGAAGAATCAATCATCAGTAACGTTAGAGACATTAAAACATATTCATTACATATTGACCAGTAAAATACCAAAACAATATCAGTGTGATAAACAGTTTACTGCATTTAGGATATAAAGACGGTATATCTTTATTTGTGAAGAAATAAGGTGCGATATCGATTTGATATTAACCATTGAAAATGTTTATTTTTTTTTATCTTACTGCATCTCGAGCTGCAAATGTCTGTTCGGCTGCAGATAAAGTGATAGTAAAATAAGATATTTGTGTTCATCTTTAGTACATCTTACGATAAGTTATCACCACAACAACGTAATTGATAACGTTTTTTTGTTTGCAAAACATATCAGATAATCGCAGAAAACCAAGAATAGCGTTGAGTAGCGTATTGAAAAATGGTATAGACTCTTGCTGTCAAGCTTGACGTCATTAGAACCCGGCGTCAAATAATACTTATATTTGTATTACTAAAAATGCAATAAATAGAAACTCCAATGGTTTTCCGGTTAAGGTTTAATTTCTTTTTCGTTTTACACCTTATACATTTCACTCGTATGGCAGATTGTACCAATATTTTACTGATGCGTCGCACTCGTAATACTATATCGTTATTCTGAACTACTCCTGAAATATGTATGTTATTCTATAGGAAACAATTAAATATAATCTGTATGTACAGTAAGATTGTCTGGTAGTACACCATAACTAAAAACGTTGTCTGAAAGAAAATTTACAACTCACCCACTTGAGAACGGAAATGATCCATTTTTAACATTCGGGTCCAATTTAGGTTCTTCCATATGAGGTAATGTTGAGTCAACATTCATGAATATTGACTGCGTGGCACTGTTCCCCATCACATCAAAGGCCTTTACTGATATCTGTATTGTTTCGCCGTCCAAACGTGAAATGTTCAGGGTCGCCTTCTCGTCCAGAAAGCCAGCCACATTTGTCCAAGGTCGAAGCCCCCCATGACCTTTGAGATTATGAGTTATTTGTACTTTGGTTATTCCATTTTTGTTAGCTATTTTCTTAAGTGTACGTTTTCCTTCGTGATCATCCAAGACTGAGGACACGTTCTTATGTCGGAAGTGCATTATTGTCTGCGGTTTGAATGTTGCAATAGTATTCAGCAGATTTAATTTTTTATGATTTTTATTTTCGAAAACACCTTGCCAGTTAATCACTACTTGTCTGTCTAGGTTATCTATCCAGATACTGTTTGCAGGTCCTACAGCGCCCTCTACCGTTATAGGATTGGCTGTCATGGTGACGTTAGATTCGTTATCAAACAGCAGCGTCCTTCGGCTGTACTTGGTGTTGTTAGCTTTATCTCCTACCTCCAACAGAACGGAATACATTCCAGGAGAAGGTGGTAGGTATGTCGGGTTCGAGGTATTAGTCAAATTGGTCAAGTAGTAGATAGGGCTGGTGGGATTGACCTCGGTCAGGTCGCCTGTCCTGTCTGGTTTTAAAGGATATACCTGTACAGTGTAGATGTGGATACCCGATAAAGTGTCGTTCCAACCGTCCCACGATATGGTTACAGGTCCCTATAAGTTTAATTGTCGAAATTTTATTATAAGTAGTGTATAACAAATCGTCATGAAGTGGTCGTGTTAACAATTGTCAAATAATGTATATGTAGAAAGCTGCAGAATATCGTGGATGTAACTCAATGATTACCAAGAACAAAATACTAGCTAAAACTGAATATGGGGATTCAGTTATTCGTGTGAATAGATACAAGGTATGACTTTAAATATGCTTTATCTCCGAAATTCATGGTTTTATGTTCAAAACTGCAGATAACTAAATAATGATTGAAAAGACATTAAAAAAAATATATGCAAGTATTGCATGAAGCCTGCAAGGACTTCTTGCTATGTGTGGATGTCGTTCATACCGGGATGATTGTAATAAAAATATCCGTTCAGAAACATGAATTCAGATATTAACATTCTAAATATATAGTTGTTATGGATGTAAGTATGAGTATTTACTAATACTTATGTAATTACAGTTATGGTATCGTCATGCAGAATCCTGAAGGTGAATGCAACTGCATTGAAAGCCTTATGCATGCATTTTCTTCTGGCAGTGTACATATAGCGATTTGCGATGGCAATGTAAATATACAAGAACAAATCAATGCTTACACCTTAGTACGGCCAGCAGCACTGTGACGTTACATGTTTTACTGTTAACGACAGGTCGCTTACCTTTGAGATGTCATTACTAATTAGAAGCGGCTGTCGGGAACATGTTTTCGTTTCCATACAGTGGTCAGGTGGGTGGTGGTCGAACATGAACTGCATCTGTTTTGTTGCCGTTTGACTTTCATAAATGTCGGTTTGGTAATGTGATAATGTATCTAGCGACCGGATATCTCGGAATCCCCCACTCTGTGTTGATACCGTAGCCACCATACTGTAACACATTCGTCTCATTTATAACAATTATAACAGACAAGAGCTGTTGGAGAACAGCAGAGCTCGCCTATTTGTGATATATTTTAAGTAATTAAATATCAAGTTATATGCAGTAAACTTTTATGTGCTAGATTGCTTAACTGCGTTATTTTGAGCATCAGTTTATGTAGATATATTTACATTTGCCCCCGCGCCGTCCCATTACAACAGTGTTAGAGGGCCAGTGTGATTATATAGGCTATAATTACAACTGCTCGACTATAATTACAACTGCCTGCGTCAGGTGTAGGAATATGTAAACAAACAAAATGACCGCCTGAAATGTATTTTGGGGCAGGGCAAATGGTTTTTGTAGGAATATGTCTTAAAAAAGAAAAATATGTAAATATACAAAATACTTGGGTGTCTGGATGTAATTATTGTTGATATACTTACAAGTGGCCTCTGGCAAATCTACCATAAAACCCTTAAGAGGCCACTTGTAATTATATCAACAATAATTACATCCAAACAACCAGTTATTGTTAAAATGAAATGTAGGTAATAATAACAAATATGGGCCACAGTTTCAGTGTCATGTTTTGATGTTTTATCTAATATTACAATTTATTACTACAATTAAAGAGCGCTAAAATTAATATGGTATAAATTAAACCTTTAAAAGTTGCACGCTATCAAAAAATTGAAGAAAGTCCAATCTGGCACCTAAACTATTGAAAATTGGAGTTTTTTCGATCATGACATTTTTTAAAGCCACGTATGTCTTTAGAAACTGTAGTAAATAGATGCAGCACCGGGAGACAATCAACAATAGTATTTTGAAAGTAAAAAACGGAGCTAGACATGTACCTGTACCTGATCAGACATGGATTTGAAGCATGGACCTCCGACCACCATTAGACTGCCATAACTAATAGCGGTACCTGTACCTGTACCTGGACCACCGATCACAATAAACCCGCCATAACAAATAGCAGTACCTGTACCTAATCAGACATGGACCTCAAATCACAATAAAGCCGCCGTAACTAATAGCGGTACCTGTACCTGATCAGAAATGGATTCGAACTCTGGAACACCGATCACAATAAGACATCCGTAAATAATAGCGGTACCTGTACCTGATCAGCCATGGATTCGTACCCTGGACCACCGATCACAATAAGACCGCCATAACTAATAGCAGTACGTGTACCTGATCAGACATGGATTCGTACCCTGGACCACCGATAACAATAAGACCGCCATAACTAATAGCAGTACGTGTACCTGATCAGACATGGATTCGAACTCATGACCACCGATCACAATAAGGCCGCCGTAACTTATTACAGTACTTGTACCTGTTCAGTCATGGATTCGAACAAATGACCTCTGATCACAATAAGACCGCCGTAACTAATTACGGTACTTGTACCTGTTCAGTCATGGATTCGAACTCATGACCACCGATCACAATAAGGCCGCCGTAACTAATAGCGGTACATGTACCTGCTCAGCTGTAGATCCCTGGCTCAATGCCACTTCAATTATATTCGAAACGAACTTAAAGGAAGGATATTGTATTTATAAAAAACATGAGTGGAATTCTTTAGTGATTTTCCTGCAAAAGGACAGCGATTCTTAAAGATACAACTGACATGAATTAGACGTTACAGCAAGGATACAGATCGATTACGACGTTTTTCGGTCAATTAGACGTTACAGCAAGGAGACATATCGATTATGACGTTATCGGGTCAATTAGACGTTACAGCAAGGAGACATATCGATTATGACGTTATCGGGTCAATTGGTTTACATCTGCTAGTGCAGAAATGAAGTTTTTATTCTCGTTACATTTCAATATTATACAATTTCGCATATGTATGCAAAATAATTATTCTAACTGCGACACTTAGATTATTAAATACAAAAGGGGGGGGCGGATATATACATCTTTGGAAACGCTATATGAAAATGTCATTGTTGAATCTATGAGAATGAGTTACAATAAACCTGATGCAGAAATTTTCAGTCGCTTTCCCTTTCAGCAATATATCGCCGTCATATAAAGCTTAATATTACAAATTAGTTGTTCTCTACGATATTTGTTAATTGAACTATCTCTTGTATGGTTCAGCAGGTAATGAGATATTAATTATATTATGATTGTTTATGGAGATATTATCAAATATCACCTTTAAGCATATCTATAGCGATTTTAAAAAACCAGAAGCTCTTTAAAATACAAATACAATTAGGCAGGGTGCGGTGAGTATTTGTCAAACACACTATATCATTGAGTGATCTCTTTTGGACAACAAGAAATTAATGTACCAACACAAACATACTTACATATCTCCATTTTCTAACAACCAATCAAAATCAGTATCAGTTATGTTGCATTTAAAGACACCTTCTTGTGGTTTAGCTGTATTGGGGTTGTGTGGACAGGTGTAGTTTTTCTGTTGTCTATATGACGTAGAGGATCCTTCATAATGAAAATGAAAAATATCAGAAAAATAATTTAAAATGATATCAAGATACATACTTCTAGTAATTATGTCACACTCGATATGCTCATTGAAGTATGATCTTATCTCAATCCAAATACAATTTTGGTTGTTGAATGGCTTTGGTAATGGATACTGAATATCCTGTTCCATATACGGACATATAACTGAGGCTTTACGGATTCTGTACGATAGATACATAGATCGTGCCAGCTGTTGAATATGACAACACGTGTCGTATTGATTGTTGAATATGATCGTGCTTGTCGTATTAGTTGTTAAATATGACCAAATGTGTTGTATCTATTGTTGAATATGACGATGCGTGTCGCATTGGTTGTTGATTACGATCATTCGTTTAGCATTGATTGTTTAATTTGACCACACGTGTTGTATTGATTGTTAAATGTAACCATGCGTGTCGTATTGGTTGTTGAATATGATCATCAGTGTCATATTGTTTGTTGAATATGACAACATGTGTCGTTTTGATTTTTGAATATGACAACAAGTGTCGTATGTATTGTTGAATTTGACCACACGTGTCGTATTGATTGTTGATTATAACCATGCGTGTCGTATTGGTTGTTTAATATGGCCATGCATGTCGAATTGGTTGTTGAATATGATCGTACGTGTCGTATTGATTGTTGAATATGAACACATTTGTTGTATTGATTGTTGAATATGACCACTCGTGTTTTATTGATTTTTGAATATGATCATGCGTGTCGTAATGATTGTTGACTATAACCACAAGCGTTATATTGATTGTTGAATATGAACACACGTAATCGTATTGATCATTCAATATGATAACACGTGTCGTATTGATTATTGAATTTGACCACACGTGTCGTATTGATTGTTGATTATGACCCAACGTGTCGTACTGATTGTTGAACATGACAACACGTGTCATACTGATTGTTGAATATAACAACACGTGTCGTATTGATTGTTGAATATGACAACACGTGTCGTATTGATTGTTGAATATGACAACACGTGTCGTATTGATTGTTTATTATGACAACACGTGTCGTATTGATTGTTGAATATGACAACACGTGTCGTATTGATTGTTGAATATGACAACACGTGTCGTATTTATTGTTGATTTTGACCACACGTGTCGTATTGATTATTGAATTGACCCCTTGTGTCGGTTTGATTGTTGAATATGACCATGCCTGTCGTATCGGATTTTTAATTGGTTTTTTGATTATAATCATACATGTCGTACTGATTGCTGAATATGACCAAACGTGTTGAATTGATTTTGAATATGACCGCACGTGTTGTATTAATTGTTGAATGTGACCACACCTGTCGTATTGATCATTCAATATGATAACACGTGTCGTATTGATTATTGAATTTGACCACACGTGTCGTATTGATTGTTGAATTCGACCACACGTGTCGTATTGATCATTGAATATAACAACACGTGTCGTATTGATTGTTGAATATGACCATATGTGTCATATTTGAATTGTTTGTTGAATATGATACTACGAGTCGTACTGATTGTTGAATATTACCACACATGTCGTACTAATTGTTGAATATCACCACACGTATTATATTGATTGTTGAATATGACCAAACGTATCATATTGATTACTGAACATGATCATGCGTTTCGTATTGATTACTGAATATGATCATGCGTTTCGTATTGGTTGTTGAATATGATCATTAGCGTCGAATTATTTGTTGAATTTGACCACACGAGTCGTATCGATTGTAGAATATTACCATACGTGTTGTATAAATTGTTGATTATCACCACACGTGTTGTATACATTGTTGATTATGACCACACGTGTTGTATACATTGTTGATTATCACCACACGTGTTGTATACATTGTTGAGTATGACCACACGTGTTGTATACATTGTTGAGTATGACCACACGTATCATATTGTTTGTTGAGTATGAATATACGTGTCGTATTGATTGTTGAATATGACCATGCATGTCGTATTGATTATTGAATATGACCATGCATGTCGTATTGGTTGTTGAATATGACCATGCATGTCGTATTGATTGTTGAATATGACCATGCGTGTCGTATTGGTTGTTTAATGTGTCATCTTAGTATGTGTCTTTTATGAAATACAAAACATTGTCTGAAATTTGTTACTTAATATAACCGCTAATGGTAAGGTGATTGATCAATGCTTCCCTATGTGGGCGAGGCTGTTGAAGCTGATGCCTGGTATCGTATTAATGTTAGTGAAGTGTTCGTCGCTGAGTAAGACTCTTTATGACAAGACGTCCATGCCGAAGGTAATACCAAGCATTGCTGTGATAATGATGCCGATATACATACCTTGTTGCTGAATTTTTGTAAGTGTCAAACGAGCTCGCCCGTCCACTATCCCAAAGCCGTAGTTTTCAATGTAATTGCCATTCTCCTCCAGCAAGGGATAGTTGTACATTGATTCGAAGTAGATGTTGATGATATTGAAATCATGCTTCATCAACCAAATTCTATCTGTATAACCAGTGTTTGGTGCTGTGGAATCGGACAGGAATCTGGCGAACACTTTACCGCTCGTTCTTTCCTGATTGACGAGGTATGTGCTGGTGCGAAGGAGATATGGTGTTTGAGAAGCTTGCACTCCAATAAAATGAAACAAATGATTAGATATGCATGTCTTAACATGAACGTCGCTTTATTTAAACAAGAAAGATTTAAAAATAAAACTTCATATATATTTTCATGATAATGCATTAACGATATCCATTAGAAAATGACACAAAAAGAGGTTCCCTAACGAATGAGTGTTGGTAGTCATGTTTATGTAATTCGAGTTCGTTATTTGTCTATTTGCATAAAGACTCGAAGTTTACCGAGTGTCTTTTACAACTTTAAAATCAACTAACAAGAGTTTCTACCGTGACGTTCATATCATATCCAGATAATCGTAAGTGTCCCTGGGAATTGTATTATTTCTGTTGAGATCGAGTAAACCATTGCAATAAATGTTGACGTCATGATTTATTATAACGACGCAAAACATTTGTACGTGATGTCACAACTCAAAGATTGACCAATCAGTGACCTCCAGGCTGTTACCCACCAAAAATGTTTATCAGCTCTTGGCAGGATTATCCAATTAGTTGGCGGTAAGGAAACATAGTAGTTATGTAGGAAATACAATAACTAGCATTGCCTAGAAATCTATATGTCGGATGGTTAGTTGACGTTTTATTTCAGTGTATAATTATATTTATCAATAGCATACTTATTATCGAGCTGAGTCCTAATAATTCCTAATTATAATACTTACATGTTAGGCAAGTGGTGCCTGTGAAACCAGACTGACATCTACAGTTGTGAGGATACGTGCAATGCCCGGGGAAGCAAGGTTTCAGGTGAGAACATAAAACTGCAAATAAACCAAGCGATCGAAAAGCTCTTTGTTCCTTAAATATTGTCATGGATACTTGTGTATTGCATAACAATAAGAAAGCATTGTTCGTTGTTTGTATCTTTAGACAGTTGTTTAATACGTACGTTTTCTGTTATAGTAAGGGATTTGTAAGTGCTATGTCCGATAAAGAAAGTTTAATTTTGATGAACAATGATGGTAATGAGTCCAAAACATATTACTCACCGAGTTATGTTGGCATTCGTAAAGATTAATTGCACAAGGGTTACACAAGAAATTAGTTAATAAACTCACTCAAGAAACAACTAATGCCATAGTTAAAACATTCTAGTAATGACAATTACCTGTTTGACAGGTGCTTCCTGTATGAGCGTTGTCGCATTGACACCTATTAGGTGACACACAGGTACCACCAATACAAGGAGGATTGCAAATAGCTGAAACACACAAAAACTGTTAACATGATATTATTTACCAGAAGTCGGTAAATGGGTTAGTTTCTTGCATTTATAGAAATTATCGTGGAATAAAGTATTTAATTATAAGGATACATATCATACTCTGTGATCATTGTATGGATGATATGGAGAAGGTTCCTACGATGCATTGTATCCGATCTGATACAGTTTGGTAAACCGGATTTTATCTTATGAAAGTTTACTATAATAATAACCGGTGTAGATTATTTTTTTATCGCCTTAAATAAAGTTAAAATATTATTTTGAAAAACGCTCTCCTCTTCGATAATAATGGCACATAATAGCTATTAGAGAAATAAAGATAAAATGTTGATTATCAATTAGTCGAGTTTGAATTTCATTTGATGTGTTGTTGATTTGATTTTATCAGCATTTAGCCAAACAGAAACCTCCACCATAAGTGGAAAGCACATCCGGGCTGCATCGATATTAAACTGGAACTAAGCATATTGTTTCGGCTAAAAAGAAAGTCACTGTGTATGGGGTACAATAGGAACTGACATAAAATTAGTAAGCATTAAACGGTTGCAGGAGATAACTATGTATCATTATTTACCTACCATCTCCTAAGTAGAGGGCACAGAAGAAATATATCCCACTGAGAGCGCAGTATTAGAAATACGTAGTACAATTGATTAATACCAGAGGTCAAAGATAGGTATCTCGATATATTTTCGCCATACAAATATATCTTTAAAATGATACACTAGGACAGTCTTCCCTCAGTTATATATTTCTCATTTAAAGGCATTGTTTCTGGATAATAACAATCTGTATTTTCTAAAGTCTTGTGAAGAATATACATATTATACATGTATTGATAAATATAGAAATGGAATAAAAACTTATGCTTACGAGTTCTACAAGATGGCCCGTTGTACCCAGTACAACAGCGTGAACCTGTTGAATAGTAAACCCTTCTTACATTTTTTCTTCCCCACCTGTAACAAAAATGGGCCAAACGATTCAATGGTCAATTCCGCAAAGACAGTGATACCTTAACCTATTTTTTGAAATATTTTTCTCTTTTCGGAATGAGATTTATCAGTTTTGTGTAAATATTATATATTAAGTTCGTTTTAAGTGATAGTAGAATAGGAAATGTTTGAACCTCACCACTAATATGTTACAGAACCTGTCAACAGTTATATCATGACTGATAACTTTTCTTTCCTCGGTAGTAGGATTCCAACATATCTTGATGGACTTAGCATGATAAACTACTCCAGAACTGTTCCCAACATCTACATTTTATATATAGAGCTATGACACTTCAGTGATGGTCATGATACAAAACTTCACCGTGTTTTAGAACACGTCAAGTGAACCTTTGATTTGAAGATGGTATCCAAATTGTATTGACGACCTAAAACCCTTTGTCTATGTGTATTGACGATGTGGTACAGTCTGATCTTTTGATTTGACGAGGTGGTTAAATGAACCCCTGTGTATTAACAACCTGTTACGTTTTGTCCAATTTAACGAACGATGTACAAGGTAATGCGCATTGTTGACGATGTGGTATATTTTGTTCCTGTGTTTTGATATTGCAGTATATTTTATCCATATGTTTTGACGACGTGGTATATTTTGTTCCTGTGTTTTTATATTGCAGTATATTTTATCCATATGTTTTGACGATGTGGCATATTTCGTCCCTGTGTATTGGTTATGTGGTATATTTTGTCCCTGTGTATTGATATGGCGGGATATTTTATCCATATGTTTTGACGATGTGGTATATTTAGTGCCTGTATATTGATATTGCGGTAGAGTTTATCCATATGTTTTGACGATGTGGCATATTTCGTCCCTGTGTATTGGTTATGTGGTATATTTTGTCCCTGTGTATTGGTTATGTGGTATATTTTGTCCCTGTGTATTGGTTATGTGGTATATTTTGTCCCTGTGTATTGGTTATGTGGTATATTTTGTCCCTGTGTATTGGTTATGTGGTATATTTTGTCCCTGTGTATTGATATGGCGGGATATTTTATCCATATGTTTTGACGACGTGGTATATTTTGTTCCTGTGTTTTTATATTGCAGTATATTTTATCCATATGTTTTGACGATGTGGTATATTTCGTCCCTGTGTATTGGTTATGTGGTATATTTTGTCCCTGTGTATTGATATGGCGGTATATTTTATCCATATGTTTTGACGATGTGGTATATTTTGTTCCTGTGTTTTGATATTGCGGTATATTTTATCCATATGTTTTGACGATGTGGTATATTTAGTGCCTGTATATTGATATTGCGGTAGAGTTTATCCATATGTTTTGACGATGTGGTATTTTTTTTTGTTCCTGTGTTTTGATATTGCGGTATATTTTATCCATATGTTTTGACGATGTGGTATATTTCGTCCCTGTGTATTGGATATGTGGTATATTTTGTCCCTGTGTATTGATATGGCGGTATATTTTATCCATATGTTTTGACGATGTGGTATATTTCGTCCCTGTGTACTGACGATGTGGTAATGTTTCTCCCTGTATATTCGTATAATTGTAGAGGTTGTCCCTGTTTATTGATATTATTATAGATTTTGTCCCTTTAAATAGACGATGTGGTATATTTTGTTCCTGTGTTTTAACGATGTGGTATATTTTGTTCATGTGTTCTGACGATGTGGTAAATTTTGTCCCTATGTATTGGCGATGTTGTAGATTTTGGCTCTGTTTAATGACCATACCGTACATTTTGTCCTTATTACTTTTTTTTTCTTTCTTTTTTTCTGTTACCTGACGACGTGATATGTTTTGTCCTTGTGCGTTTCGCAGGTAGTACATTTCCCATGTGTATTGACAATATGATACATTTTGTCACGTGTACTGACGACAAAGTGCATTTTGTCTTTTATTACCGAATACGTATATTTTGTCCTCATGAATCTAACGTATGGTAAATTTTATCCCAGAGTTTAACGATAGGTGTAGTTTGTCCTTGATTGCAGACCTACTACTTCATTTTTTCTTATAAAATACATTATTGTATATATGGAATTATACTACACACCATCCTACTTTTGTGGTTCCCCATCTGTAAAGTGTCTTCTGGAAATAACACGTGTTCCTGATAAAGATAATAAATAAACATCAACACACGATAAAACGGTAGTTACACAGACAAAATCATACCTTATCAGTCCTGAACATCAAAGTTCATTAACAAAAGATTATCCAGCATATATCAATAATAAGCAACCTAATAAATGGCAGTGTGCCTCAATATTCAATAAAGGAAACACATTTTTACATAGACAATATAGATGTAAACATATACACTTGATCAAGGTAAGTGAAGTCATCTAAACTCTTAGTTAATTGCTAGACTACTAGGAAAGTAGTAAAATAATTGATCCTATCAGCCGCATGTTTGACATCTATAAACAGGGCAATATTATATAATAATAGGGCAAAGGTATATAATAATAGGCCAAGGGTATATAATAACAGGGCAGAAATATAAAATAACAGGGCAATGGTTCATAATAATAGAGCAAGTGTATATAATAACAGGGTAAGAATATATATTAACTGGGAAAGGATATATTATAACAGGACAAAGGTACATAATAGCAAGGCATGCATATATAACAACAGGGCAAGGATAAATAATACCAGGACATGGCTATTTCAAAACAGGGCAAAGCTATATAATAACAGGGCAAGGATATATAATACTAAAGCATATATATATCAAAACAGGGCAAAGGTATATAATAACAGGGCAGAAATATATTATAACAGGACAAAGGTTCATAATAACAGAACAAGTCTATATAATAACAGGGCAAGGATATATAATAACAGGGCAAGGATATATAATACCCGGGTATGGATATATCAAAACAGGGCAATGGTTCATAATAACAGAACAAGTGTATATAATAACAGCCTTCGGCTCAGGGTACATAAGGTCCTGACAGCGAACATGAGGCCATGTACCCTGCCAAAGACCTGTATAACGAATTTGTCATACTGCAAAGCCATTGAAAACAGATACTGTGTAGGGCGGTAGTACGAGAAAACAGAAAAAGCTATTTTTTAAATTATAATAAGTCAACAATATGGTTTTGAAACAACATTAAATAACAACTCAGTTCCTTAACAACTCGTAACGATTGATTTTTGAAAAACCGTTTCGCCATATTGTTGATTGTTGACATTAGCAGACGAACATTCTCCGGTGTGTTCAATTCGAATCTTCGAGTTATCTCCCTTACAACGGGCACGCGTGCTCTTATGTACCCCGGCAAGGATCCTAACATAGCTTCAGGTACCTTGGCAATTCGACCAATCCCCGTGCGACATTTTTCTGTATTATAATAGGGCAAGGATATATAATAACACGCCCTGTGTATGTAATAACAGGGAAAGTGCATATAATAATAGGACAAGGGTATAATATAACAGGGCAATTGTTCATAACAGCAGGGCAAGGATATATAATTACAGGGCAATGCTATATAATAACAGGGCAATGCTATGTAACAACAGGGCAATGCTATATAATAACAGGGCAAAGATATATAATACTATATGGAAGGAATGTATGAAAATAGAGCAAGGATATATAATTATAGGGCAGAAATATGGCAATGATAAATTATAACAGGGCAAGTGTATATAATAGCAAGGCACGGGTATATAATAACAGGGCTCGGATATATGATAACAGGGCAAAGGTATATAATAACAGGTTAAGCCTACATAATAACATTGCAGAGGTATATTATAACAGGGCAGGGGTATTTAATAATGGGACAAGGATATATAATAACAGATCTAAGATATATCATAACAGGGCAAGGATATATAATAACAGAGCAAGGGTATATAATATCAGGGCAAGGATATTTAATAACAGGGCAAGGATATATAATAACAGGGAAGGGGTTTATAATAACAGGGTGAGGATAAACAATAACAGAGCAATGGTATAAAATAACTCGGCAAGGATATATAATAACAGGGCAAGGGTAAAAATATCAGGGCAGGGATATATAATAACAGGGCAAGGGTAAAAATATCAGGGCAGGGATATATAATAACAGGGCATGGATAAATAATAACAGGGCAAGGTTATTTAATAACTGGGCAAGGATACAAAACAGCAGGACAAGTCTACATAATAACAGGGCAAGTGTATATAAAAACAGGACACAGATATATGATAACAGGACAATGGTTTATATTAACAGAGCACGGATATATGAAAACAGGGCAAGGATATATAATATTATATGGCATGAATATATGACAATAGGGCAAGGATATATAATTACAGGGCAGAAATATATAATAACAGGGCAAGGATATATAATAACATGGAAAGAATATATTATATCAGGGCAAGGATATATAATAACAGGTCAAGAATATATAATAACAGGGCAAGGGTAAAAAATAACAGGGCAATGGTACTTAATAACAGGACAATGATTTATAATAACAGGGCACGGATATATGATAACAGGACAAGGGTATAAAATAACAGGGCAAGGCTACATGATAACATTGCAGAGTTATATTATAACAGGGCAAGTGTATATAATAGCAAGGCACGGATATATGATAACAGGACAATGATTTATAATAACAGGGAACGGATATATGATAAAAGGACAATGATTTCTAATAACAGGGCACGGATATATGATAACAGGACAAGGGTATATAATAACAGGCCATAGGTATAAAATAACAGGGTAAGGCTACATAATAACATTGCAGAGGTATATTATAACAGGGCAAGTGTATATAATAGCAAAGCAAGGATATATAATAACAGGTCAAGAATATATAATAACAGGGCAAGAATATATAATAACATGGCAAGAATATATTATAATAGGGCAGGGATATATAATACCAGGGCAATGGTATATAATAACTTTATAACAGGGCAAGTGTATATAATAGCAAAGCGAGGATATATAATAACAGGTCAAGAATATATAATAACAGGGCAAGGGTATATAATAACAGGATTAGGATATATATCATAACAGGGTGAGACTATATAAAAACATTGAAGAGTTAAATCATAACAGGGCAGGGGTATTTAATAATGGGACAAGGATATATAATAACAGGGCAAGGGTATATAATAACAGGCCATAGGTATAAAATAACAGGGTAAGGCTACATAATAACAATGCAGAGGTATATTATAACAGGGCAAGTGTCTATAATAGCAAAGCAAGGATATATAATAAGAGGGCACGAATATATGATAACAGGGCAAGGGTATATAATAACAGGTTTAGGATATATATCATAACAGGGTGAGACTATATAAAAACATTGAAGAGTTAAATCATAACAGGGCAGGGGTATTTAATAATGGGACAAGGATATATAATAACAGGTCAAAGATATATAATAACAAGGAAAGGCAATATGATAACAGGGCAAGGATATATAATGCCAGGGCAATGGTATATAATAACAGGGCATTGGTATATTATAACAGGGCAAGAATATATAATAACATGGCAAGAATATATTATAATAGGGCAGGGATATATAATAACACGCCCTGGGTATATAATTAGGTTAGGTTATTAATAACAGGACACGGATATATAATAACAGGAAAATGATTTATAATAACAGGAACAGGACACGGATATATGATAACAGGACAAGGGTATTTAATAACAGGCTAAGGCTACATAATAACATTGCAGAGGTATAGTATAACAGGGCAAGTGTATATAATAGCAAGGAACGGATTTATGATAACATGACAATGATTTCTAATAACAGGGAACGGATATATGATAACAGGACAATGATTTAAAATGACAGGGCACGGATATATGATAACAGGCCATGGGTATAAAATAACAGGGTAAGGCTACATAATAGCATTGCAGAGGTATATTATAACAGGGCAAGTGTATATAATAGCAAGGCATGGATATATGATTGCAGGGCAAGGGTATACAATGACAGGTTAAGGATATATAATAACAGGGTAAGGCTACATAATCACATTGCTAAGGTATATTATAACAGGGCAGGGGTAATTAATAATGGGACAAGGATATATAATAACAGGTCAAAGATATATAATAACAAGGAAAGGCAATATGATAACAGGGCAGGGATATATAATACCAGGGCAATGGTATATAATAACAGGGCATGGGTATATTATAATAGGGCAAGTATATATAATAACACGCTCGGATATATAATAACAGGGAAAGTGCATAAAATTAGAGGACGAGGGTATATTACAACAGGGCAATGGTTCATAATAACAGGGCAAGGATATGCAATTACTGGGCAGAAATATATAATAACAAATAACATGGCAAAGGTATATAATAACAGGGCAAGAATATATAATAACAGGGCAATGCTATATAATAACAGAACAAAGGGACAAAATAACAAGGCATGGATATATAATAACAGGGCAAGGATATATAATACTATATGGAAGGAATATATGAAAATATGGCAAGGATATATAATTTTAGGCCAGAAATATATAATAACAGGGCAATGATATATTATAACAGGGCAAGTGTATATAATAGCAAGACACGGATATATGATAATAGGACAATGATTTCTAATAACAGGGCACGGATATATGATAACAGGACAATGATTTCTAATAACAGGGCACGGATATATGCAACAGGAGAAGGGTATATAATAACAGGCCATGGGTATAAAATAACAGGGTAAGGCTACATAATAACAGGGAAGGGGTATATAATAACAAGGCAAGGATATACAATAACAGAGCAATGGTATATAATAACTGGGCACGGATATATGATAACAGGACAATGCTATATAATAACAGAACAAAGGGACAAAATAACAGGGCATGGATATATAATAACAGGGCAATGATATAAAATAACAGGGCAAGGGTATATAATATTAGGGCGTGGATATATAATAACAGGACAAGGATAAAAAATGACAGGGCAAGTGTATATAATATCAGGGGAAGGATATATAATAACAGGGAAAGTGTACGTAATATTAGAGCAATGATATACAAGTACAGGGCAAGGATATATAATAGCAGAACAAGGATATATAGTAACAGGGCAAGGGTTATAATAACTGGGCAAGGAAATAAAAAAACAGGACAAAACCATATAATGTCAGGGCAATGATATAAAATAAAGGGCAAGGGTACATAATATTAGGGCATGGATATAAAATAACAGGACAAGGATATAAAATGACAGGGCAAGTGTATATAATATCAGGGGAATGATACATAATATCAGGGAAAGTGTTTGTAATATGAGGGCAAGGATATATAATAACAGGGCAAGGATATACAATAACAGGGAATTGTATATAATAACTGGGCAGGGATATTTAGTAACAGGGCATGGATATATAAAAATAGGGCAAGGGTATATTATAAGAGGGCAAGATTATATAATAATAAGGCTAGGATATATAATAATAGAATAAGGTATATAATATCAGGCCATGGGTATATGATAACAGGGAAAGTGTATATAATATAGGGGTAAGGATATATAATAACATGACACGGATATATAATAGCAGGGCCAAGGATATATAATGGAAGGGCAAAAATATATAATAGCAGGGCAAGGATATATAATAACAGTGCAAGGATATATAATAGCAGGCAAGGGTATATAATAACTGGGCAAGGATATAAAACAACAGGACAAAGCTATATAATAACTGGGCAAGTGCATATAAAAACAGGGTTATGATATATAATACCAGGGCAATTGTATATCAGGGGAAGGATATATTATATCAGGGCAAAGATAAACAATAAAAGGGGAAGACTTTATAATAACCGGACAAAGTTACATAATAACAGGGCATGAAATATAATAACAAGGCAATGATATATTATACCTGGCCACGGATATATAAAAATAACCCAAGGATATATAATCAGGGCAAAACTGTATAATAACAAGGCAATGGTTCATAATAACAGAGCAAATGTATATAATAGCAGGGCAAGGGTATATAATAACAGAACAAGGGTATATAATAGCAGAACAAGGGTATATAATAACAGGGCAAAGGTATATAATAACAGAACAAGGGTATATAATAGCAGGGCTAGGGTATATATAAACAGGGCAGAAACATATAATAACAGGGTAATAGTATATTATAACAGGCCAAGTGTATATATAATAAAACATGGATATAAAATAACAGGGCAAGGGTATTTAATAACATGACAAGGAAATATAATAACAATGCAAAGGTTTATAATAACAGGGTAAGGATATATAAAAACAGGTCAAAAACAAATAATAACAAGGCAATGGTTCATAATAACAGAGCAATTTTATATCATGACAGGGCAAAAGTATATAATATCAGGGATAGGATATATATAATATCAGGGAAATTATATATAATATAAGGGCAAGAATATATAATAATAGGGTAAGGATATATATTGACAGGGCAAGGATATGTAATATCAGGGCAATGATATATAATAACAGGACATGGGTATATTATAACAGAGCAACATTTTATAATAACTGGGCAGGAATATATATTAACAGGACAAGCATATATAATAATAGGGCAAGGATATATAATAGCTCGCCATGGGTATATAATAACAGGGAAAAGTGTATATAATATAAGGGCAAGGATCTATAATAACAGGGCAAGGATATATCATGACAGGGCAATGGCATATAATAACAGAACAAGGCTATACAATAACGAACAAAGGGAAATAATAACAGGGCATCGATATATAATAACAGGGCAAGGATATATAACACTATGACATGAATATAAATAAATAGGGTCAGGATAGATAATTAGAGGGCAGAAATATATTATAACAAGACAATGGTTCATAATAACAGAGCAATTGTATATAATAACAGGGCAAGGATATATAATAACAGGGCAAGGGTATATTATAACTCGGCAAGGATATAAAACAACAGGACAAGGATATATAATAGCAGGGCAAGGATATATTATAACAGGGCAAGGATATATAATAACAGGGCAAGGATATATAATAGCAGGGCAAGGATATATAGTATCAGGGCAATGGTATATATTAACAAGTCAATGCTCGCAAAGTACACTGATCTTTACCAAAATGTATTTGACATTTAATATGAGCATGGTATAGCTTAACATATCAATTAAATATTTATACATGTTTATAAATGGAACATACCTGGTTATCTCCCCTATACCATTTACTTATTAATTGTTTCATTTCTGGGGGGTTTCAAGTCATCATAAGAAGCATACTTATGTAGGTCTAGCCTGCTGTTCGATTATATTGTTTACTCAATAAAATATGATGAAATTGAAAACACCTCTGACTGATCATCTGATTTGTGTAGATGTTTATATAATAATAATAATAATATACAGCATTTATATAGCGCCCTATATAATTTGTAAAATTACTCTAAGGCGCTTTACAACATATGGATAATAGTAATGGTTATAATTGTGAAAACAAACAACAAAGGCTTGCAATCACTTGCATACATTTAACAAGCAATGTGCACATAATTGAACAAATAAAAGGGTGGTATTTATATGAGGTCTTCACAAAGATTCTAAAATGCAGACGTGAAGAGGTGAGTTTTTATGTCCCTCTTGAACTTGGCCAGGGAATTTGACTTCCTAATAGCAGATGGTAAGCTATTCCACAACGTAGCCGAAACCCTCCCAAAGCATCTGTTTCCGTAGGTCACAGTACGAGATTTTGGGACACACAACAAAGATTCTGACTCCGACCCCAGTGATCTTGACGGCTGATACAGGGTAACAAGTTCCTGTAGGTACTGAGGAGCTGTTCCATTCAGTGCCTTGTATGTGTATACCAGAATTTTGTACTGCGACCTGTATCGTACAGGTAACCAGTGCAACGAATAAAGCGCAGGTGTGATGTGCTCTCTCTTTCGAGTACGAGTAACTAGCCGTGCTGCAGTGTTATGAACCCTCTGCAGACGACTAGTGAAAGTGAATTGCGTGAAAGTCAATCGGTAACATAAACATGTAAACAATAAATAACAATCTTAACAGACCGACCTGTCTCCCACAAGTTCGGCACTGTACGAATATCAATTTCCTTTATAAAACGGAAATTGATAGCTGTATACAGTTAACAGTTGTATATAGTTTTGTTTTTTAAGATCAAATCGAGTTTTACAAACAAAATAGAAATACATGCAAATGTAAAGATAGAAAAAGAGTAAATACTTTAAATGTCAGAAAGGCAATCAGCTCGACTTTGGAAATTGTTATCAAAAGAGAAAAAAAAATTACCTTCAAATCCGTAAGGACGAAATCTTTTACGTTATAACGACACTTGTACACTTTCTGATAGTTAATGTCATTGCGTCGTTTGACGTATTTTTTTTATTTTTTTCATAAGCTCCTGCATGTATTCACAGAAATCTGTCGCTAAATCAATGTTTGATTTTCTGTGAAAAAATGTCTAAACAACTTAAGTAGTAGCAAGAAGCGGCAAAAAATATACTTTAAAAAATAAGCAATGCACCCATATCGAATTAACTCAAAATAGTACATGTTAATTTTAATTCAGCATCATGGATTATTCGTTTCACATAAAATCACCACATCCATTGCTTTGACGAAACCTGTTTTAGGGTCTCCTGCTACTTACACTGATTTGAATAAAACATAAATTGTTTACTAAGATATTAAAAATAAATCTGTTCCAATTATCTAAATGATAAGTATTATGATTTTTAATAAAGAACAATAAAAAACATGACGATACTTACCCGTAGCAAATACTAATGCTGAATCCAGTTATAGCCAGGATAATAAGTGTAATCTCCATGGTCGGCTATAGACCCCGCAGTAACTCGAATACCACCGCACGCCACTTATATACCTGAATACGAATCTCATATCTTCCTGGTCTGTTAATATTCAATGTAGTAATTTGCATGAACGTAAATACTTCCTCGTTGATAAGTACTAACAATATCAAAATATATAACAGCACTTGTGTTAGCAATCATGACTTTGGCAAGTTTTTAAAATAAATTTTATATGTATATGTCGAATTGTCATTATGGAATTTAATTATGAATACTACAGTATCAAACAATTATACCCTCTCTGCATAAATTCTATTATTCATTACTTTAACATATTAAGTATTTTTGTTTTATAAATTGGCATTTTTAAAAACAAGACGAGACAGACATTAAAGTGTTAGATTTAGGACAAGTGGTACAATGTGTCAGATAGCGGCCTTTCGAGCCCTTTATCTAGTTTTTGTTTAGTTTAAACGAAAAAAACTTACCTCTGGCAGGTGGTCATTAGTGTAACTGTCCCTATTTAGTTCAACCAGCTATCGGTCAACAGCTCGCAGCGGCAAAAAATGTCCGAACCGTTCGGGGAACTAGAGGTAAATCCTTTGTAATCCTAGCTTCTTCTACCATAGGGATGAAGTAATTTCATCCCAATTCAGTCTGTAACTTCCTTTGGCCAAGGGCACTAAATTTTACATAAACGGTGTATGTGCCTCCCCCCTGGTGGAAGAGGGACGGGCCCAATATGGGAAATAGAGGTAAAACCTTTGAAATCCTTCTTCTACCTCATAGATTTATGGACTTCGTCCCAATTTAGTCTGGAGCATCCTTGGACAAAGGGGACTCAATCTTGTTAAAATGGTGGGGTTGGACCCCCTGGACGGAGACGGGCGGGGCCCAATAGAGGCAATGGTGGTAAAACCTTTAAAACCCTGCTTCTACCGTAGGGATAATAGGGGGTTTATCCAAATTTGGTCCGGAGCATCCTTGGGCAAAAAGGACTTGATCTTGTATAAACGGTTGGTGTGGCCCCTTTGGGCGCTGAGGGTGGGGCCCAAAAGGGAAACTGAGGTTGAAATCTTTAAAATCCTTCTCATGTACCATTTGAGGGATTTTATCCGAATTTGGCCTGAAATATCCTTGTGCAAAGGGGTCTTAATTTTGTATAAATGATAGGTGTGGCTCCTTTGGGTGAAGAGTTGCGGGGCTCAAAAAGGGAATTTGAGGTTTAATTCTTTAAAATACTTCTTCTGTACCATTGGATGGATTGTTTGTAATAAGAATAATTTTCCATGGTTGCTTAATTATTCAGGTGAGCGATACAGGCCCCCTGGGCCTCTTGTATTATTTTATCTTATCATCTTTGACTTACAATGGTATACAAAGATATGTTACATACGCAGATTTAATGTATAAGCATGCGTGGTTGTACAGAGGGATACAAGTATCATAGTAATAGAGGTGTTCTGCAGTTACATACTGTATATTACATGTAGTCACTAATGATATTCGATGTTAAGTTTCCGAACAGATCTAAATCATGGCCTATCACTTGCTAAGTCATTTCAGGCTATAACAATTTCTGCTCAGATTTATGGACCACAATAAATGTTGTTTAATTGAATATTTAAATCGTGTTCTTGAAGATGGGAAAAAACGCCAACATCCTCCGCAAAATGGCCGCTGCAGACTGGCTTCTGATAAGTCAAAATGTATGCATTGTCCAATGTCCCTATGTAAAAGTGGGCAGTGTCACTACGAACACTACTGCGATCTGCGTTGATTTTTTTATTTGACAAAATGTCCGTGTTAGGTCGGGTCCTGATTGGTCGACATTTAGATATTGACCGATGTTATAGATTTGGTATGTAGATGTATTATGTACGGTTGTCAACGGTTAGCCGGTTATCCGGTTACTCGGGCGAAAGACCGCGAACCGGTTACCAAAATCCTTAACCGAAAAGTCGGACATTTACTTACCCCTTTTGGGAGCCCCATGTTTCCCTGGTTTAGAACTATCTGCATTTGTATAGATGCGACCGAAATTGGATAGTTTTGTAATAAAACAGTGTTAAGGGATGTTACTGTTAATTTTGTACTCTAATTTAAATACTGGCAAAGGGATGTCGCCAACACCATAAAAATCTGAAAACAATTTTAAAGGAAGCCAGAATACAAAGCTGTGATATATCAAATTTCAAATAGAACGTGCCTTTGCATGCGAGATGTAAATGAGCAAGCATGTCTTGAAACGTTTGTCAAGCAAATTTTGTTCTAAAGAAACAATATTACCGCATATGATTTAGAGCAATTGAATTCGTCTAACTGCATTCCGACATGCGTTGTCCATGAAAAATACTTCCTGAAGTTACAAACAACTATTTCTTGTGTTAACCTTGAAATACACGAGTAAACGATCATGCTATTTAATATATACATGTATATTTGTGATATTAATATGGGTTCGTCCTTCCGTCCGTTAGTCCCTCCGTCTGTCCGTCTGTCACGCTTCGTTTCCGTGCAACAACTACAACAAATGGTAACCGATTTTCTTCAAACTTGGTTCGATTTTGATGAAATTTGTATATAGGGTTATTAGGGGACTGCTAATTCAACCGCATACGTTTAGTTGCCATAGCAACCACACAAAGGCTTCTGATTGGTCGCAATTGAGATATTGTTTGATTTCGATGAAAATTGGTATACAGGGGTATTAGGGGACTGCAAATTCAATCGAATACGTTCCGTTGCCATAGCAAATACACAAATGCTTCTGATTGGTCGAAATTTAGAAATTAATATGTACATTGTAGGTGTACTATGGCAATGCGATCCTTTTCTGATGCATCTTTGCGAGTATGGGAGCAGTTTTGGGGACATCTGTAATGGTCCCCCATTACAATTAGTACGTGTTGCTGTAGATATTGTTAAGATGTTGCAACCAAATTCCTTATGCACATTCAACTCATGCTTAGTTTGCCAACCGATGTGATTTGTGCATATTTACGGATAATCAGTGAGGTATAGGGATTTTAAGTTTTAAGCTATACATTATGTCTCAAATGCACGATACTCACATGTTTAAACCTAACCTCAATAATGTTAACCAATAATATGTCCTGCAAGCGGGGGATATAAATTCCACGAATTTGCTTGTTTGACTACCAAATTGTTCGAGAAACCGGTTACACAAATGTATGTACCCTTCCAGAGCAATGATGTCACATCTGCTTTGTAGTAAGTTCATGTTGTGTACAAATTCGTGTCCTTTGTTCCTTTGGCCAAAGAAGGTGTCGTTTGTTAGATATGCCTTCCAAATTATTTTGTATACGGTGTATCTCGCGCAAATTGACTTTTGAAAACGTCTCTATGTTTAGGATATTTAGTGGAATTAAAAGTATATGAATAATAGATAAATAGATTAATACAGGTACTGCCATCAAAAGAAGTGGTAGCATATGTGTTAATTCTCTAATAATAATAATAATAAATAATATACAACATTTATATAACGCCCTATATAATTTGTAAAACTACTCTAAAGCGCTTTACACCATATGGGTAATAGTATTATATATAATTAGTTATAATTGTGGAACAAAAACAAAGGCTTACTATCACTTTTATACATTAAGCAAGCAGATAATCATAGCAATGTGCACATAAATGAATAAAGAATGGTATTTACATAACGTCTTTGCAAAGAGTCAAAACATGAAGAGGTGAGTTTTGATGTCTATCTTGAATTTTGCCAGGGTATTTAACTTTCTAGTAGCAGATGGTAAGCTATTCAACAACGTGGCTGAAACCCTCCTAAAGCACCGGGTTCCATAGGTCAAAGTACGAGATTTTGGGACACACAACAATGATTATGACTCCGACCCTTTATCGTACAGGTAACCAGTGCAATGAATATAGCACAGGTGTGATGTGCTCTCTCTTTCGAGTACGAGTAAACAGCCGGGCTTCAGTGTTCTGGACCCTCTGCAGACGACTAGGTAGTTTGTCGGATATACCACAAAGCAGGGCGTTACCATAATCCAACCGACAGGTAACACGTGAATGCACCAACATACTGCATGCATCTGCAGTTATAAACTGTCGGATACAGCCGATGTTCTTGTTCTGGAAGTAACAGGATTTGGCAATAGCGTTCAATCAAAGTATACCCCTAGGTTTTTAACAGATTGGACAATCTAAATAGTTCTGGTACCGACCTTGAGCTGGAGAGCCATTGTTTGCTGAAAATTTGGGGAAAAGACGATTAGTTTCGTCTTTTCCGGATTAGGCTTTAGAATGTTTGCGTTCATCCAGGTACTGATATCTGTCAAACAAGCTTTCAGGTTTTCTGTAATTGTATCCCAACTGTCCTTTGGTTTGATGACCATGTAAATTTGTGTGTCATCAGCAAAGCAATGATAGCGAAGGCTTTGGCGACGACAAATCTCTCCGATCGGATTAGAGTACAGGCAATATTTTCGTGGTCGACCCTTGAGGAACCCTGAAATCTAGTATTTTTTTTCTTGTGAGGTGGTACATCTGATGGCAACACACTGTTGTCGTTATCTCAGATAAGACTGTATCCAGCATAGTGCGGTAGCAATCACTCCATAAGAGTACTCAAGACGTTTATAAAGTATGTCATGGTCGATGACGTCAAATGCAGCTGACAAATCCAGCATGACAAGCACCGCTCTGCACTTGTTATCCAATGCAGAAGCTATGTCATTACGTACACGTAGGGGGCCGTCTCAGTAGTGTCCCATGAGGTAGGCCGATTGCAGGTTGTCATGGAGACTGTTTGCATGGAGAACCTCTAAACGCCGGGACACAACCTTCTCCAAGATCTTAGATAGAAAAGGCAGATTTGATACTGGGCGTTAGTTCTTCAATTCCTCCTTGTCCATTCCAGACTTCTTCAACAATGGTCTAACATGTACCATCTTGAAACACCATGGAACCTTTGACTCAGCCATTGATTTGTTCATAATTGAGGTAATCAAGGAAAGCAGTGCTTCCCGACATTGATTTAAT